GTGACGAGTTGGCTTCACGAGTAGACTCCGAATTTGGAGACTTCCGGTCTCGTATAGGGTGGTTCATGTCAGATAATCGAAAATGGGAGACACAGGAACTTGGGAAATCAGGCGCTCTTCAGTAGTTCTCTACCCCAGCTTGGCTAGTAGTTCTGAGGAACACAGGAGAGTCTCTTGTCCGACGATGATACACAAAAGCATGGATAAGGCAATTTGAAGCCGCGTGTACGGGAAACTTTACAGTGTTGAGCAAAGTACTTTATGAGAGTATCCGGAAGAGCTGAAGTTTCTTTCAGAGAGCATATTTGAACAAAGGGCTCTTCTCCCCCATGCGGCCAAGCTCTTCTTCGGTATACCTCTCCCTCACTTCGTCTTCAGTCTGTAGCGCCTTCTTCTCATTGAGCCTCTTTAGAAGGATTTCGAGAGCAACAACAGCAATTATACCGGCCGATGCGAATCCAAAAGATGTTCCAAAGCCAGTAGGGTATGTCGGCGCTTCCTTGTCGAGGTAGATATAGCTGCCGATCAAGCCACCAATATTTCCGACACAGACCAAGAAGCCGATGCTGATTGCTCGTTTCTCTGGGCTCGGCGTATTTGCTACGTTCCAGGCATTGACTCCTGGAAGAATTGGATACATTCTGGCGATCCTAGGTTAGTTCCCCAATGTCTTCTATATGAGACCGACAGGTGTATTGAGATTAAAAGACTTACCCGAAACAGGCCAGGCACACGGCGAAATAACACAACGCAATGTTGTCTTTGATATCGGCGCTCTTTGCGAACAAGATGCTAAATGCAACCACGAGGCAAAGCTGAGGGCCAATGATGAAGGGCATTCGCCACGAATACCTATCAGCAAAGACTGAAAATATGTAGGCCGAGATAGCGCCCACCGCATAGGGGGGCATCGTCAAAAGCTGCGCGTTGGCCGAGGTATAGCCCATGTTTTTGATAATCTGCGGCATCGTGAACTTCATGGCGTAATTTGGGACCGCATTCGACCAGTTCGCAAAGATCAAGAGATAAATCTTCCAGTCTGTCAAGACAGACATCAAAGCTTGCTTATCAAAGTGTTTCTCTCGGAACTCGCTCGGTCGATGAACCCGGCGGGCTTCTTGTCGTAATTCGAGATAGCGCTTTTCGTCGGCGTCAAGCCACTTGGACAGAGCGGGAGAGTCGATGAGGAAGAAGAAGCACATGACGCCAATAACCACTGTAGCCAAACCTTCGAGGATGAATATCTAAGTTGTTGTTAGAAATATGCAAGAAAGGTTCAGGGCTTTCAGACGCACCCATCGCCAACCTTCATACCCTCCGACACCATCCATTTTTGCGATGGCAAATGCTAGAAGGCCAGAGACGCCCCCACCAGAGGCGGCAGAGGTACAGAGAAGAGCTATCCTAGTCTGCGTCTCGTTTGGGAGGTACCACTTGGAAATGATCAAAATAGCGCCGGGGAGGAAGCCTGCTCTGTCCCTAAGTTAATCTTTGCTGTAGTCTCTCCAACCAGTTAGGCGTGATCGCTTACTCAAACAAGCCAAGGAATATTCGAACAGCTATCAGGCCACCATAGCTTTGGACCACGCCGTTGCAGGTCATGATGATGCCCCAGCATGTGACAATGCCACCAATGTAGAGCGAAGGTCTCTTAAAAATGTGTAGAATCATGTTGCTCGGGACCTCGGCTAGGACGAATGGGATGAAGAAGACAGAAACTGCAATGTTGTACTCGACGCCCGTCATGTGGAGGCTACCTAACAACCCTTCGATCTTGGCGTTTCCAATATTGGTCTTGTCGAGATACGCCATGAGGTAGAGCAGAATCAGCATCGGCATAAGTCGGTACTATTGAAGATGCAAGTCAGATTATGTTGTAACACCAATAAGACGTATCATAGGGGGCAGTTGCAACTAAAGTGTACGCACGTCGACTTTGCGGACTGCTTTCTTCTTCTTGTCCTCTGGGAAGTTGCCGAGGAATGCAACGTCATCAGGGCTCAGGTTGCCATTGCGTTGATACTCATGGTGGGTAACAGAGTCCTTTTCGTGAGAGACGTGTTCAATGTCGGAGCGGTCCGAAGAGACCCTGGTGACAGCCATTTCTCTTGTTGCGGATGTGATTGGTTGGCACTTTCTCTTTGTCAGAGAGTTCTCCATAGAATGAAATGATCGTTAGGCAGCTGCTTGAAGCTGGAAAGTCGTCGCGACTCGGCTTTATAGTTGAAAGGCGGGAGACGAGGCCTTGATATCCAGTTACTACCATGGAACCTGGGGAAGCGGCGTGAAACCTACAGCTAGGTCTGGAGTTGCGGGGGAAATTTCCCAGGAATCTGGGGTACTGCCCTTGGCGCCGGGGTCCTCGAAGCAGCGAGTGGCTCGGAAAACAAATATTTTCCAGTCTTGATAGTAGCGTCAAGCCACTTCTGCTTAGCGTCAGCGTCCATAAGCAGCCCGGATTAGAAGATTTCGGAAATGCATGTACGAAGACTGCTTGGTTTATCAAACAACTTCGTCCCAGTCTCTCTAGTGACGCCATGAGCGGGGAGGATATGTGCAATGCATTGCTGTCGTAGATGGCGAGATAGTCACGGTATCCGTTCCGCGATTCTCCATGCCAAAGTTCGGAGCACATCACCTATGACACGTTTGCGGCATGTGGATGGGGTGACAATTGGACGAGCCCGGACTTGTCAAGTCCCATCCTGGCACTCACATCATCCTTACCTGTTCTCCTGGTTGTTATGCGTGTGTTCTGGCCCCTCTTTTAGTGGACATGAGTCGTGGTTCCGAGCCTGCTCGGACTTGTGTTCTCGGATTCTGACCGGAAAAGAAGTCGCCCATCTCACGCCGGTTCGGATGAGCGGGGCTGGTAGTCAGCTCCAAGCATACGCTGTAAGCATTCGGCATTCTTCTTCAATCATGGGAAAGGGTGCATGGATCCGAGTAAGGAGGCGCGACTTCGGCACGTTCTCAAACGCGAGCTCATCTAGCCCCTAAGAAAAGTTGTGTGTGAAGCTCGCCATGATCTGGTTATAAAAGACTTCATTGCAGGAGGTAGTTTTAGACTTGCCTTTACCACACTCAATACACACATCAAAATCTCATAACTCTGTAATCACTCTCAGACCACCTTAAACTTCCAATCCCACAAACCTTACCGAATCATGGGTTCCAATGTCGGCCTTGACCTCCGTGGTCTCACCCCTGCCCCCGTCACCCCCTTCAACAAGGACGGCAGCGTAGACTACGACGCCATTCACCGTCTGGGCTCCTGGCTCGACAGCATCTCTGGCGTCAAGGGTCTCGTCGTTCTCGGTCATGCCGGCGAGGGCACCTTCCTGACGCAAGACGAACAACTTGCCGTCATCAAAGCCTTTGTCAAGTCCGTTGACAACCGCATCCCCATCATTGCCGGCATCACGGGAGAAGGCACCGAAGTAGCGGCCCTAGAGGCCAAGCGTGCCCGGGAAGCCGGCGCCTCGGCCGGTCTCTTGTACCCTTCTCACGGCTGGCTCCGCTTCGGCTATCAGCCCGGCGCCCCACAGGACCGGTACAAACGCGTCTTTGAGGTCAGCGGGCTGCCGCTGATCCTGTTCCAATATCCTGACGTAACAAAGGCGACGTACAACTTGCAGACTCTGCTCGATATTTCGGCGCAACCTGGCGTTTTTGCAATGAAGAACGGCGTCCGAAATATGAGACGATGGGACACTGAGATCCCCGTCATCAGAAAGGAGAGGCCGGATCTCCAGATTCTCACCTGCCATGACGAATATCTTTTGCACACCGCCTTTGATGTCGATGGTTTTCTGGTTGGCTACGGCAATATTGCGCCCGAGGCTCTGATTGAGTTGATCAAGGCGGGCAAGGCAAAGGATTACCCCAGAGCGAGAGAGATCCACGACAAGCTGTTGCCAGTGACCAAGGCAGTGTACCATCGAGGATCGCACATGGAGGGCACTGTGGCGCTGAAGCACGCGTTGGTTGCAAGGGGAATCTTGGAGCATGCGACTGTCAGGTCACCTTTGTTGCCTTTGGAGGATGGAGCGGAGAATGAGATTTTCGCAGCTGTCTCTGCAGCTTCGCTCTCACGTGTGAAATAGTTGATGCATATTACTAGGTACCCCAGAAAATGCTGTGTTGGGAAAGTGCCATGGGCTATCATGTACGTACGGTAGAAACTAAAGAATCATTCGTTGTCATTCAGACAACTTTCCACTTCTAGACCCTATCAGTGGGAGTTGAAATCCGCCATGGACGCCCGCGTATTCCAACCATCGATCACCATTGGTGAAACCTGTAAAGGTCTAGCCAGTATTTTGGGAGCAGCTTTGGCAGCTAAGATGATTAGCGAGCTCAGCCCGCTATTAGCTGCTCTTAGGTGTAAGTGGCTTGAGACATCATCCTGATACCTGGTACCTACACTTCATTCCAGTCAAAAAAGCCACCAACATCATCCATAAGGCCATAACCCGGTGCGCTACTCGGCACTCGAGACAGACATTCTGCCCACACCTCAGACACTCAAGTTTCATCGAATTGAATTTGCCAACCGCAGTCTTCATGGCTCTAGAACTTACAGCACACTGATGGGATTCTGATGTTATTGTGCTACGGCATCGGTTCCTTTAAGATGGTCCTATCAGTGGGATAGAGTCGCAATCTCCCCAGGTCTTTTGTCTTGAAGATCGCTATGGTCTAGGCTCAAGCTGTGGCTCTCCAGGCTTGTGTGGCGAAAGCCTAATAGCCAGGAACGGCCAATATGTGTCTTTGTGGCTCTCGATAGCACGAGCCAAGCACATGTCTAGACGCCTTGCACCTCCTCTCGATCCGTGGTCCCCTTTTACCAAACGGCGGGGATTTCTTTCAGACATTCGAGCCCTGAATGTTTCCTTCTAACGCGGGCCGCCCTTTAAGAACCTTATCATTCCATATCCCCTCATTAGTGTGTCCCTGCAAAAAGACATCAGCTGTCTAGTCTTCCTCACAGACGAAGTATGGAGTCTACTAAGGATATTTTGTTCTTTCCCGGAATTTTCTGGGCCACATCCCGATGGACTCAGATCCTTGGGGTCGGGCTTGCGGCGTGGTTGCTCTACGGAACTTTCCTGGCAATCTACAGAGTCACCCTCCACCCGTTAGCAAAATTTCCTGGCCCGAAGTTCGCCGGTGCGACATACTGGTATGAGATATGGTTCGATGTGGTACGCTGGGGAAAGTTCACGCATGAGATCAAACGTCTTCATGAGATTTACGGTTCGTAAACTTCCAACTACATGTGCGTCTTTGAGACTAATAGATGCTGATATCATGTGATGCGTTTAGGTCCTATCGTCCGGATCAACCCAGATGAAGTTCACTGTAATGATCCAGAGTTTGTGGACATTATCTACGCAAATGGAAGTAAAAAGCGTAACAAGTCCAAAATGTTTGTAGAGGGGTTTGCTGCAGAGTGAGTTCACCCCATCCAATACCTCGTTCCACACATGTCAGGTTTGCTAACAGATGGCGTGTAGCTTGAAGAATGTGAGGGACCTTTCTTAGACGGCCCGAAGTCACTCATCAGTCAGCTAATTTTTGTCACCAGGGAGGATTCGGCACAGTTGACCACGCTCATCATCGCCTCCGCAGAGCGGCTGCCAGCAAGTACTTTTCAAGAGCGCAGATTGCCAAGCTGGAGTGGGTGATCCATCAAGATGCTCAACGACTTTGCGACAAGTTCCTTCGGTACCAGGGTCGTGGACCATTCGAAGCCGCGTCGGCGTACAGCTGCTTCACAGCCGACATTGTCAGCGATTACTGCTTCGGACAGCCTTTCGGGTTCCTTCAACAAGCTGATTGGGAGCCCAACTTCAAGGAGGCAGTGTATGCGATGTTGCAGTTGATCCACATCATGAGGCACTTCCCGTGGACGACGTGGTTGATGGAGGCTATACCATTGTGAGTACTGGTGTTCGCATGGCCTCTTGGTGGGTGCTAAAGACGAGCAGGGGCGTTATCAGAAAGCTATCGTCAAAGATGGGAGCGCTTGCTGAGCAGTCCAAGGTGAGAGCTTTCGATGGAAGAATGCAGGTGGACAAGCTGACAAGGGCAGGTAAAAATGCCGGAGATGGTCAGGCAGACTAAGTCAGCATACGAAGCCGGCATCAAGCGCGACCGGACGACGGTGATCCATTCTCTTCTAGAGTCGGACCTGCCGCCTGAAGAGAAGACGATTAAACGACTCACTGGCGAGGCAACGGTGATGCTCGCCGCTGGCACTGAGACGACGGCTTCAGCCCTCAGTGTGTGCACCTATCACTTGCTCCGCAACCCGGACGTCGTTGAGAAGATCAGAGCCGAGCTTCTCTCCGTTACTATGAACCCCAAGGAGATTCCGACCTGGGCCACTCTGGAGAGGCTACCATACTTCAGTGCCTCCATCATGGAGGCATTGCGTATGGGTTATGGTTCCCCGTCGAGATTACCACGGATCGCACCGGACGAGGACTTGATTTACCAAGGCACGTGGACACCTCCAGGTGCCTCATCACCAGTGGAGGTGACGCACGTCATTCCACGAGGCTATGCGAGTGGTATGTCGGCGTGGATCATGCATCACGACGAGAGGGTGTTCCCCGACTCTAATAGATTCCTCCCTGAGAGATGGCTCGATGAAGACGGACAGAGGAGGCGGGGTTTGGAACGGTACCTATTGACATTCTCCAAAGGAAGCCGGCAGTGTTTGGGCATGCAGTAAGTTTCTCACCATTTCTTTGCGGTAGCTCCCCATGATCTGTTATTCGGTCCAAACTTTCTGAGTTTACAGCTGACCGAAAAAGGCTGGCATACTGCGAGCTTCACGTGGCCATTGCTGCCATGACGTTGCGCGTCCTGCCGAAGTTGAGATTGTACGAGACGACAGATGCCGATATAGAGTATGATTATGACCTTGCTGTTGCAATGCCGAAGAAAGGAAGCAAGGGCATCCGTCTGGAGGTGGTGTGAAGACTGCAGCGTTTGCGCCGAAGGCGCCATGGGGCCATAGCTCCTAGGCAAGCTTTGATGAGCAATTGAATGCGAGAAGCTCGTTGTTAAGAACATCCAATAGCGAAAGCTTCCTGGCGCCATGAGGGGATCATCCAAGCTTGAGAGTGACATTGAGTTGATGCCCGCATGTACTTACACGGTGGTCGAACATGGTTCCTGGAAGACATGCTTCATTCTTCCTTAATGCATGCTGAGTTTGGAGTACATCCTTGACCTTAGAAATCTTCGAAGTGATTGTTAAGCAATCTAGATGGGATGATGAGTTCTCCCAGGGACGAGTCAAGTTAAGTGAGTGAGTGAAAGCGAGTGAGTAAACAGGAAGAGAGTGAGAGTAAGAGTGAGAATGAGAGTGAGACCACCGAATTGTCAGTGCGGCGCTTAGGGCCACACTGTGACCACATCTAGCCTAGCGAGCCCCACTCGGTCCCGAGCGCCGCGCCTACCGGGACCGAAGCCAGGGCCATTTGGAACTGAAAATACGGCGAACGGACTCTATCTTCGCCGACACTACCAACACATGGAAGCCTTTGATGATGGGTTTACGGTGTACGGATGGACACACGCACACCTGGATTTGCTTCCACTCATTGCTTCCACTTCGTTCACCATCATTGGATGCTTAGGTAAGACGACGCGCGCGCGAGTATTACCAATGCGCCGCCCAGCCCCCTGACTAAGGCAATCTAACGATCCAAGGATCCAGAGACACCGCCGAAAAAGACAAGTCAAGCCGTCCCCATTTATGATCTCCCACTCTAATTATCTACTACTTTTGCTGGACAATCTAGACCCGATGCGACTCTTGGGAATCAACGATTGGTGAAGCCTATTCATTGGGTCACGACCTTTGCTTCCGGCGCGCGGCATCCCGAGTGGCACAGTACAGAAACAAAGAGCCAAAGTGCCCGTAGACAGCCACTAGGCGCCTATCTGGCCAGTTCTCCGCAATCAATGTAGCAAGAAGCATATGATCCAAAAGAAAAAGGGAAAAAGCATCTTCTGTCCCCGTCTTCCTCAAGAGCGCGCGCTACCTCTGACTAATGCCGTGGCACCCGCCGCGCCGTTGCCTTGACTCGGCCTGGACCCCTGCCTTTACCATGTTGGTTGGTGCATGTTGGAGCCCTGGGCAAGCTCCGGACATTGTCTGACGGCACGGAGTACATCTGCAATAGGGCTTATTCCTACATCTTTTTCATGTAGCATCACAGCCTATGGATACCACTACAGTTAACCCGCTCCATGCGTCTGATCCCAAATCCCAAGTGCCAGAAGAAAAGAGAAGCACACCAAGCTTTACCAAATCCAATTTCGCTTGTCACACGCAAGCTCAGAGCTGAATAATCCGAGCGCCGCTCCGTCTGAAACATTGGATTGGCTCTCAAATGGTTCCATCCAGCGCGAGAGGTACAGGCACACAGGGAAAAGGCCGGGCCGCAGTGCGACTATGCCGGCGTGCGTGCAAGCGTGTGGTACCTCGCATCTTTGGGGATGGGATGGATGAGATGGGAAGGATTGGGCCGAAGCCCAGGGCGTCAGCTAAAAAGTCCCCGGATCCTCTACCTTTGTGCCGATAAAAATCATTCATTATCCTCGCTCCCACCCTTTTCTCGAGACCCTGCGCCTATGCCTTGAGCCCTCTCTTCCTATCGTAGATCTCTTTGTCCAAGCAACTGTGCCCCGTTGGGTGCTCTTTCACAGGTGCCCACTCTCGCACTCCCCCACGGCAGTCCCGTACCGTCAAATCTCAACTCCGGCCCCCAAATACCGGCGACCTTGCTTACTTTCTCCCTTGACTGGGGAACATAATCTCACCTTCATCACCGCCAACCCTTTTTCCTCAACAACATCTCATACCTCTCATCATTCGCTGCCAAGAAAAACAGAACAACCTCACAAAATGGTCAAGCAGGTCGTGATTCTGGGCGCAGGCTACGCAGGCCTCGGCGTCGCCCATAAGCTGCTCAAGTATACCCAGCCCAAGGTCAAGGATCTCAAGGTCATCCTCGTCTCCCCCTCAACCCACCTGTACTGGAACTGCGCCGCCGTGCGCGGTCTTATTCCCGGCGAGTTCTCCGACGACACTCTCTTCAACGAAATCAAGCCCGGCTTCGAAAAGTATCCCCAGGATGCCTTCGAGTTCGTCCTCGGCAAGGCCACCACCTTCGACGCCACATCCAACACAGTGCAGATTGAGACTAAGGAGGGCTTAAAGTCACTTGAGTACGCACAGCTCATCATCGCCACCGGCTCATCCCTCGCCAGCGGCGTCCCCTTCAAGACCATCGGCACCCACGAAGAGACCCTTACCGCATGGCACAACCTCCAGTCCGAGGTCAAGGTCGCAAACTCCATCATCATCTCCGGCGCCGGCACCACGGGCGTCGAAACCGCCGGTGAGCTCGGCCACGCCTACGGCTCTACCAAGCAAATCACACTCATCGTCGAGGGCGACGCGCCGCTCCCCGGCCTCCTGCCCCAGCTCGGCAAGATCGCCGCCAAGAACCTCCAGCAGCTCAAGGTCAAGCTCGTCACCAACGCCCGCGTCACCGAGGCCAACACCTCTGGCGCCCTCAAGTCCATCAAGCTATCCAATGGCGAGACCCTCACCGCGGATCTCTACCTGCCTCTCTTTGGCGTCCGGCCCAACTCCTCCTTCATCCCGGAGCACCTCCTCGATGACAAGGGCAGCCTGAAGCTCAAGCACGACCTCCGTGTCGAGGGCCTCACCAACGTCTGGGGCGTCGGCGACATCGGTAACCTCGAGGCGAAGCAGCTTATGCGCGCCGAGGGCCAGGCGCTGCACCTCGCCGACAACCTCGATGCCGTCCTCACCGGCAATGAGACAAAGGTCAAGGACCTCAAGCTCACGCTTAAGCCCCAGGTGTTTGTGACGATTGGCAAGAAGAAGGCCACCGGCCAATTCAACACGATGAAGCTGCCTGGCTTCATCGTTAGCGCCGCCAAGGCCAAGACCTTCTTCACCGAGAAGGGACCTGGTCTCGTCCAGGGCAAGAACATCGCCAGAGCGTCGATTTGAGGAAGCCTACTTAATTGGGTGAATGATGGATGATGGAGAAAGATTGGTAATGGGTTTGCTTCAGCTTTGATATCCCGGGTTGCGAACCGTCGTTGCATGGCTTATAGTGTGTAAGCACACGGAACTTTTAATCATTGGACATATACCCTTAATATAGTCAAAACACGCAATTGTAGTGTCTTCCAAACCCGTGATTTGTCTATTGATCTCATCTCATCTCATAGCTGACCTAGGCTAGGCACCCATGTCGGGGCAGCCACCTGACAGCAGCCCGATAACAGTCGCATGTATCTAAAGCCTGACTGCCGTCTCCACAACGTCCCTCATAGCATCTTTCATTTCGATGTCAGCACTCTTCTCAGCATCGATCCAAATCCCCATCTCGTGCTCCTCTACATTGACCTGGAAGCCAGCTCCATCTCCTCTGGCAATGACAACAAAATTGAAATGAACCACCGGACGCCTGATCACAACACGCTGGGCAGCCTGGGCAGCCTGGGACGACGGGCCCGCAACAGCATTTTCCACGGTTTCTTTTCCCTTGGCCGACGAATCCTCCACCGTCTCTTCCTGGATGTCGAGGATAGGTGGAAGGCAATTCCAGACATCAATCACTTGAAGAGAGACCGACTCAGCGACCGTCCGGATGATGGCATCTCGAACGGTGGGATCAGCATCTTTCATCTCGCCTCCGGCAATCCCGTGGAGGTTGTCATTATCACGGCCGGGCTTGTTCTTGAGGATCAGAGTCTCGGCTCCGGAGGGTCCACGGCGGACGATGGCGGCGCCTAACATGATCTTGGGACAGGGGATTTGGGCTCGAAGGTCTATCCACGAGAGCAGGTCGCTGCGGGAACAGTCAAGAATGTCCATTCTGGGCAGGTTGATAGTTGAAGTGAGATAATTATTGACTCGTAGTATGTGGAGTATAGTGTCGAGATAGAATTTTCAATGGGAGCTTGTAATGTTTGACTGCTTGGCGGTCGTAAGGTGGGTAAGGACGAGAGGTGAAAAGTAGGATTTCGTGGGACTCATATACCTTCCAGACACTCAAAAACTGGGATATAAGTTCCTGGTCAACCACGCTGCAGCCTGCTTGCCTGGTTGGGAGAAATGGTTTCGTGACTGCCTGTCGTGTTGAAAGAGTACGACAAAGACTCTTTTGGCCTCGATGTAGTCGTGAGACTTCGTAAGGGTTCACATGATAGATGGTAAATCTTCAGTTTAAGAGTACACACCGTTTCAGAACCTAATGAGAGTAGCCAGGATGATGGTACCGTGGCCACCAGTCCGTTCTGGATATTGATAGTCTTGAGACTCATAGGATAAGAGCTTGGCAGTTACAAATAACATGTTTCGTCCCCTTGAAGTGTTACTACAAGCCAGTGACTACTGGAATGTTATAGAGCCGGCCTCAAGTCCTAAGTGACTCTGCCAGCACAATTCCAATCATTATGTCTCAGCTCTTTGATGCTTGCCTGTTTCAAAGCGAAAAAGTAAGTTATCATAATTCTAGTTATCTATCGTATTCCTGATATCGCAACTCTATTCTAACATTTCTTCAGACCAATACGCACCTCACATATGATAATTACTCAACCAGCGCAATACTGGCTCTTGCTTCTAAGCCACGCGCCCCATCTCCACATAATAAACGGCACAATCAGTCCCATCACAAAGACAATACCAGCAAGCAGTACATTGCCCCAGGCAATACCCAACATATCATATAATCTCGGTGCAAACAACGGAAAGCTGAAACCAGCCATCGTCCGCACAAAGGCCGCCGCACCTGCTGCGCTGGCCGCATACCTCTCATACGAGTCGATGACATACGTCTGCACGCACTGAAAAGACAGGATGAGGCCGGCGGCTAAAATCGCTGCGCCGATGTTTGGAACGATCCAGTGGACTTCAAAGTGTGCTGCGATCCCATACAGGAGGAGACCTATGGGGGTGATTATGGCTGTGGGGAACATGAGAGGGATCCTGAACTCTGGACGGCCTGTGTCGTTATTCTGTGCTTTGAGTTTACGATAGACCTGCAATTTGTGAGTTAATGGTATCTAGGTGTTACTGCGAGTGCAACTTCATCTCACCTTATCAATAAGAGGTCCGGATACTTGTAGCCCGATCACGAAGCCAATGCCAAGTGAGATGTAGTTCAGACTAGCTGGCCCGGGCTCCATGTCGTACTGCTCACTCCATACAAAAGGGAACGACGCGAGGCTTGAGATAAGTTAGCTTTCATGCATATTACCATACTGAGAAACTGAAACCTTACACAAGATACATAAGACCATACAGGTATGCCCTGTACACAGCAGTGATCTGCAGTGCTGGCTGAGTAAAAAGCATCCTGAATGGTCTGACAAGATTCTTCCGCAACGTCTGTCCGAAAGTCCTGTCTGGGCGATCAAACTCTGTACGCAGATTCGCGTTACCCGTCTTCTTGCGCAGCATCTTTGCTTTGATTGCCAAAATCTTAGGGGCGTAAGTCTCGGAAAGGAAAAGAAAGGCAAGAATTTGGACGACCGCATCGGCGATGGAGACGGTCCAGAAGATCCAGCGCCAGGAGAGGTACTGTGTCAGATACCCGGCAGCTATAATAGTAAGAAAAAGATGTTCCATAGATGCACCCAAGATGCAGGTAGTAATAACACTCACCGATAGGGCCGACAGCTGGCCCGAGAAATGGGGCCAGACTATAAATGGCAGTCGCAGTGCCTCTCTCTTCGGCTCTCCAGCAATCGCTCAGTACGCCGCCACCAAGCTGAGGATCATGTTAGCAAGAGTTTCCACGCTAGACAGACCAGAGACTTACAGCCTGAGGAGCACTTCCACCAAGGCCGCTGAGGAATCGAAAAGCCAACATCTGTTCTTTTGAAGCAGAGAAGCCGCAGATGGTATTGAAGATCAAGTAAAACATGTTGGCAGACTGAAGCACAACAACACGACCGTACATCTCAGACAATGGAGCAAGAACGAAAGGCCCCACGGCGTACGCGAGGAGAAAGATGGACATGAGGAGATATGTCTCAATGTCAGACTCAACGTCAAAGTCGTCCGCGAGGGTGTCCAGTGCCGGGGCTAACATGGTTGAGGAGACTGGTGATATGAACGTGAAACATGAGACCAAGATGGTTGCCGTCCATTTTTTGTGCCTGGCCCAATTCTTTGGGTTCATTAGGTCGTCAGGCCCAGACCATGTCACCTGGAGGATGGTTAGCTTTCTAAATTCTGGGCTGACAAGTCGGAGTACACAATCCTATAGATGAGGTTTACTTATCACATACCAGGTCTGGGTCTTCAGGATCATCAGGTCTGATACCTTGTGCAGGCTTTTCCTCGAGGGGAATCTCTGCGGAGGGTCCTGCCTGCGCATGGTCATGGGAAAGTAAGTGTGAACGATCGTCATGAGCCGACGTCTCCAGGATAATCCCAGGATGTCTGCAACCAGATTCCTCCACTGGGTTTTGAAGCCAGGGAAATTTGTATGCTGTTCTCTCATACTCTGTGAAAGAAGGTAGTCCTGGACTCCACCCTCGCCATAGGCTAGATCGAGATCGAGTTAAAGTCCTGTGAAGGCTGAAGCCCGTTTCGGAGTCTGCCGATACCGGCTTACGGGGAACGAAGTAGTAGGCATGTGGTTTCGAATCAGACATGATAGAAACTGAATAAAGATGCAGAAGCGAGAGTTGGGAAGCCTTGAAGCGAGTGTGCAAAGTGCGTTATGAACGAATGTTGTGGGTAATTTTGAAAGGTCTGTGTGTATGGTATGAAGCTATAGACCTCCATTTAGCACATTATATGAATTTCCTCAAGACTGAAAAACGAGCGTATCTCGTGAACAAATCTGACAAGCCCAGTCTTCTAGCAACAAGACAACAAGGAAAACAGCACCGCCTCATGCACTCATGATAGCATCGCCCCGGCTCTGGCGTGATGTCCTCGGGCTTAGGAAATCAGCCTTCCCGTAAGCGGCAGAACCAGCCGGGCTCAGGAGGTCACACATCCCTAAATTCGTTCGCCCAAGTTCATCCCGCCAGGTGATGCAACAAGGAAACCCAGCAATGCCAGAGTGTATCTTCAAACCAAGTCGCGGGTGAGAATGACAGCCGAAGCTTTCTTGGCAGTCGATCGGCGGGGTGGGAGTGGGTTCTTGGATTGCTACGTCAACTGTGGCTGATGAGTGCGTTTTTGGAGTAACATTTTTCTAGACTCCGCCCAAGCGACGCCATGAGCCCAAGGATAACCCTGAAAGTAAGTGCAATTCTTATTTATAGCTCAGGTACGGCCGTACGTGATTGGAAGACTATCTTTTAAGACGGGAAACCTTGAGTAGATGTTTCGGGGTCCGTCGTCGGATGAGATACGAGATCTGGGACAACCAATCTGGTCGCGTGCTCACTACTCCTGGCATCACGCCTAGGAATTAGACATCATGATACCACGCATACTAGCCAGTTGAATCTTGAGAGTACACCGTCTAATCGGTTCACCGCAGTTGTCATTCTGCTCTGCCGCTTTCAGAGGCTGTGCCATGATGTAACCTCCGTAGATGTCCTGCTACGCCATGGAAGCCGTTGACAGGTCCTAGCCTTACCTTGTTTCCAGCCATCTCGCGTGAGTTGGTTGCATTCGACAGCCCATCGAGGCAAGGGACACGTGCAGGGCTGAGAGAAGCCATCATGGTCCCTGGCCTTGGGTACGTAAAGATCACACGATCGCATGCCCATTTGCGAAAATACGCACCGGCGGAGCATTTCATCGCCACGGCTCGGCAGCTGGACGCTCGTCACTCCAAGCCAGACTACCCGATGCTGATTATGTTCAAGCTTGAGACCAGAGAGATGGTACCCGAGGGCAAGTCGGAAAGAGCCATTTACAGTTGTGTTAGTTTCGTCTTGTTCAAAGCTTGCTGCGGATCATCATCAGAAGGATATAAAGAGAGCAGATTGCTGTGTCTGAGAATTGCGCTGGGATGGATCAACACCACTGTCAGTTCACATCTTCATCTACGTCACTTACATTCGCTTCTCGCAACCACTTCACTCGCTAACATCATTCGCTTGATTTCAAACAAATGAACTCTGCCCACAACAACATCACGGCAACACCTGATCTTAGAGAGTCATCACCATCTCCCATTGATCTTGCCGAGTCCGCACCCCGAAACATCACTCATCAAGCCGATATGGGTTCTCTTCCTGTTCCAGAGGGCATGAGAGTTCTTGTCTGTCCTTCGGGATTCAAGGGAAGCTTACAGCCAGACGCTGCAGCTGACTGCATCGAAGCGGGCATTCTGGCTGTCATGCCAGAAGCAATCGTCCGCAAGGTTCCCCTTGTCGACGGAGGCGAGGGTTTCACTCGTGCCCTTGTATCGGCGACTGGTGGTACGCTTCACCCAGTCACCGTCACGGGCCCCGTTGGCATTCCGATTGCATCCTTCTTCGGTATCTTGGGTAGCAACAATCCCGATACTCCAAAGACTGCCGTCATCGAAATGGCGGCAGCGGCTGGCCTGAGTCTCGTGCCTACTCATCTTCGCAACCCGGGCCTGACCACAACTTTTGGAGTCGGCGAACTCCTCGCCGCTGCTTTGAGCGCTGGTGCGAAGCGGATCGTCGTCGGATGCGGTGATTCGGGCACCTGTGACGGCGGTGCGGGAATGCTCCAGGCGCTTGGCGCTCGGCTTATTGACGAGGATGGGCATTCGCTTCCCATTGCTGCCGGGGGCGAGTCCCTTCTGCGTTTGAGGAACATTGACCTTGGCGGCATCGACAAGCGTGTGAGGGACGTCACCATCGAGGTCGCCGTCAACTGGAACAACGTGCTCTCTGGCCCCGACGGCGTTGCCAGAGTCTTTGGCGCGCAAAAAGGCGCCAGCGAATTGCAGACAGAACGCCTTTCAGCAGCCATGGAAGTCCTCGCCGTCGTGGCTGGTCGCTTCCTCTGCGACGACAACGTGGGCCTCTCGCCCGGTGGAGGGGCTTCTGGAGGGCTGGGCACCGGTTTACGGCTGGTCGGCGCCAAGCTCCGGCCAAGATATGAGGTGGTGGCGGAGTATGTCGATTTCGATGGCCTCTTCACTGACTGTGACCTGGTGCTCACGGCCGAAGGGGGCATCGACGACCAGACTCCGCGAGGCAAAATTCCCGCAGAGATTGGCGTGCGCGCGAAGAAGCACGGCCTGCCTGTCATCGCAATCGCCGGAACCATAGGGCCAGGAGCGCGGGTCAACTACGACGTCGGGATCGATGCGTACACGTGTATCCTGCAGCGACCATCCACGCTGGACGAGGCCATCCTAGACGCGGAGGTTCTGACGCGCGAGAGCGCCGAGTGCGTCATGCGGATGATTGTCGTGGGCCAGGCGTTGGGGTCCAAGAAGGGCTTGCCCATGGCGCAGCAGCCGGCTTCGACATGGGTTTAGAGATGTTTCTGATTGATTGTTGTTTTGAGTTGCAATGTAGCCAAGACCGTAGATGGGGAGACTGGCACGATTGGATGGGCTTAGTGTACGCCAGTAGGGAACAGGGATGTGATCTAGAGTTTTTTTTGACCGACATGAGAATATGAAAGAATGACCGCTAGCAGCCCTGGAGGAGACAAATTCAAGACTTGGCATGGATCAGAAATTTCTGCTGAGAAGGGAGATGTGACTGGCGGGAGAATGCACCAGCCAAGACGCTTGGTGTGGCGATGCAAGTTGTGAGTTGGCTATCCAGGGGCAAGATTGGAGATCAAGGTAAAGATAGTAGTAGTAAACAGGATTATGTCATGTAAGAATCGGATGATCAACGCGATTTAGGTTTGAAGGGATGTTCATCCGAAAGGCAAGCGAGGCGGGATGGAGGTGAGTGGGAGTTGTCATGTCGTTTTGATGAACCACGGAACGGGACGGAAGCGGCGGCGGGGGGAACCATGAGACGGAGGAAAGAGCCGTTCAAAAGTACGTACCGATAGACTTAGGACCACGATCTCTCACAGAACATGCAGGAGACGGGGTGCAACGTTTGAGGATTGACAGATCTCTTTTGAATCCCAATGAATGCACTTTAGTCTATTCTCGTAAACTTTTGTAACTGTCTAGCTGATCATCTTGATGCGTCCCTCTAGAACTGGTGCAATGACACGGGTCCAGTCGACCGTGAACTCCCCCTCATGCAGAGGGTCACATACCTCAGCCTTTACACCCGCCTTGCTCGCCCATCTAGCGAAGAACTTACGCATAATGAGCATCTCCATGTCAATCTGAGCGACGCTGTCCACTTCGTCCTCGGAATCGGCCTCCTCGTCGGAGTCATCCTTGGGGGGCTTGACGTTTAGGGCATGTCTTTTGACCATCCACTCAGCCCATGACTTTGACTCAACCTTTGGCTTGGGGTCCGACGTGCCCGTCTCCGCCGGCGTCTCCCACATTTTCCGGGGCTCGACCGGGCTGTGGCACTTCTCGGCAACCTTGACCCAGTGTTCGCTGAGGTTCTTCCATTGGCCAACTGTGCGAAGGCTCATAAAATACTGGCGCAACATGGCGGAGATGAGAATGCCGTTCTCTTCGCAAACGATTTCCTCGGCGGTTCCGCCCTCGGGCTCGACGAGCAGGCTGGTAAATCCGTCTACTTTGGTCAGCTAACAATCTGATTGCAGGAAGCTCCATAATTACCTTTCCCTCTGCCCATGTACCCTCGGGTCGCAAGTGTATACTTCTTTTCCGGTTCTATCGGTCCGCCTCCAAGGGTCGCTGCTACGATACGGGAGCCCGCTGGCTTGCTGGGGTCGAACGTGTACTCGATGTTGGATACTTGCGGGAATCGGCCTGATGGGTCAGCAATTTCCAGGGCCTTTGAGAGTAGTATGCTATATGGAGATTACCTTCTTGTGCTGGGTACTGGGAGACGCCGTTCTCCAAGGCATCCCAGAGCTGCTGACCAGTCACTCTGATAAAGATAACGGGATCCTCAAAAGGAAAGCAATTGGTGATATCCCTGACCCTGATCGCACCGGGAGGATAAATCTGGTCGCCACGGATTGTGCCAGCTGCCATCAGGGCACAGTCGGCGTTGTGGTAATGCCTCATGACGTCGCAAACGAAATTCCCCATGTTGCTCTCCTTCATCCGGACGGTGCTGAATCTCGCATCCAACGGTGAGGCTGTCCAGCCTACGGACTTGGCCAGGCTGTGTTTCAGCTTGGAGGTCAGGTCTTCGGTAAGCTTTAGTGTCTCCTGATCTTCCGCGATAGAGGAGACGATGTCGCGCTGCAGAATGTCAAAGTCCCACTTTCCTGAACCGTCCTCCCTTTTCCGAACCTCGATGTAACTAAGCTGTTTAAAGTCGGAGCCGGATCGGAGCACGTGCGTGCCATTGACGAAGCTATGAGCGTAGTAATGGTCGTGTCCGCCCAGGATTATGTCGATGAGACCCTCCGTCTTCTCGGCAAGCTTGTTGTCGTTTGGCTCGCGCTGATGGCTGAGACAGATGATGATGTCGGCACCCTGAGCCCGGAGCTGCGGGACCAGTTCCTTGGCTGTCTCGCTGGCCGACTTGTAGATGATGTTGGGCGGCAAGCTGTTGATCGTTTCTAGCCATTCTCTTTCGCCGAGACCGAGGAGACCGATCTTGATACCATTGGACGATGTGATCATGTGCGTGTGCTTGGCATGTCCGAGAGGTACATTCTCGCCCAGGGCCGGGTCCAGGACATTGGCGAGAAGCCAGGGAAAGTTGCACTTAGCAGTCAAGTGCTCGAATTGCTTGACTCCAAAGTCGAAGTCATGGTTCTGTGAAGCATGTAAGTTCCGAGAAAGCAGCAGTAAAGTTTGAGGCCCACTTACACCAACGCAAGTGCAGTCAACGCCGATCTTGTTGAGCACTGGGACCATGTGCTCACCTGGGGCGCAATGAGTACAAGTGACAGACAAGTGAGACGTGATGGAGATGCGCTGTACCTTTTGTGACTGAACTCTCGAGACTGGGGTTGAAGACATCTCCTGAAAATAGAGTCACTAGCTCGGGCTGGCCCTGGTAGCGTTCGTGGCTTCGGTACTCGTTGACGGCAGTGATGAAGCGAGCAACACCACCCACCGGCTCAGCGCTCGCGGCTTCCAAGTGGTAAACATCGTTGAGGTGGAGAAGACGCAGGGCAACCGGTGCGTTGGAGCCCGAGCTGAAAGTGACGACGGGCTCATCGGGCGCTGGGGTGTTTTTGGGCATGGTGGGTACTATGGAGAGGGAGGGAAATAGAAGTGGTCTAGGAATAGCAATGTAGTCGGAATCAGTCAGAAGACTGATTAAGAATTGCAACGCAAACGAGCGTTGCTCGTGAGCTGGAGCTAAGGATAGTGTGAGTGAGGTAAAGTTAGGTTTTGGAGTGAAGGCGAGGTGCCGTGCCGTCCGTCAACCGTCGTCCTTACGGTGCGGTGAGCTGAGTACTGCGGGGGCGGGGGCGGGGCAGGGGCAGTGAATTGGACCACGATTGATTGGTGCAGGAGCAACGGGGACGCAGGAACCAACCAAAAGAGACAATTACCAATGCCAGGTCAGAGGCACGTGATGCAGTTGCTGCGCCATAGTGGGGCAAGATACGTCTTTTTCGTGCACAGACTCCATCTGATAAGGATAAGGTTGCTGCTAATTATAACCAATGCCCCACCAGAACAGGGGCCAGCACTTGCTGTTTCTCTGCAGGGAATTCCGCCAGCGCCTTTCTTTAATTTGTTGAACGTGGGTAAATTGATTCAAAGGTACATAATTCTCTCTTACACCGCTCAAATAAGTTGCTACCCTGCCCATACAGTCCAGAAAAGTCGGTTATCTCCGAATGTGGTGCACCAAAGTCCAGAACCTTTCCCTCTCCGAGTAAAGCGACTGTGTCGTAAAGACCCACATGCCCAAGTCGATTCATCACCACCAACACTGCCAAGCGAACTCAGTGTCTGTTGCATTCTGCGTCCTAGAATCAGTCGCAGCATCAACGCTGCAACATGTTAGCCAGGTCCGACCGTTTTTTTTTTTTTTGAAAGCAAAAACCCATCTGCAAAAGAACATAACTTACTTGCTCATTGCCTCTTCCAGTAACAAAACCTTGGACTTCCGCAACTTGGCTCTAGCCAGGCAGGGAAGCTGCTACTGACTCGCTGACCACACAGCAGAGTCAATATACTTCTTCATCCCCCCCTATCTCGAAACAATATCTCGGTGCCCAACCTTCTCTAAAACCTGCGAAATCTCTCTGTCATTCGAGACGACGTAGAAAGGATCGATATCAAACGAACAGTTTCCGGCATCAGACCCGGATCTTGAGAGACCACACTTACTTGAGAGCGAAGATCGCCTTGCGTCACCGTGTCAGGTCACACACTCCCGTCCTTGTACATGTGGTGAATTCTTCCGTTTTCCAGCCGATTCTGGAGAGTAGAGTTAGATAAGCCGGTACCCGAGGATGCCACAGACTGAGAAGTGTTAAAAGAGCCATTGAAGTATCTCATGACGTAACGGTGTAAGGGGCGGAGGGGGGGGGGGGGGGGGGCTTATTTACTTGCGCTATGTCCGAAGCAGCGTCACTCATGACCTAAAGGAGCAACATGTTGAGGCACCTTATGCATGTTTCTTTATTTCGAGGATTGATGAGAAGCTGTCGCATCTATTGAAGTCCGTCTAACTTCAATACCTGGTTGCCGGCCCATATCGCCGTGCTCCCATTTCATATCTCCAAGAATAGGTTTTCTGCCCCCATCGTTATGTCTCCTACGTCTCACGAACTCGAATTACAATAGACATAGGGGCAGTCGTCGGCAGGAACTCGAAGTTACGAATGAGCTAGGATCAAAAATCTTAGTTATCTATACTTCGATTCATTTTCCACGATGCTTGGGACACTCACCGTGACAAATATCTTGTTCAGCTCTATCATGGCCACCGCTTTGCCCGCACACTGCCACCTGCCAGCACCGAAAACCAACTCGGTTCGTTTTTTCCATTCTTTAACCGTGGCGTCAGCGGCTTCGAGCCATCTCTGGGGCCGGAACTCGTCGGCGTCGTGTCCAAATAGCTCTTTATCATGCGTAACTGACCACGTGTCGTGTGCGACTCTTGTACCTGGAGGTAAGAATTTGCCCTCGTGCATATCGCCTTCAGGCCCGACCTGTTTCATGAGCAACCCAGTGAACGGCGGATGAACACGGAGGGACTCGAAAATGACTGCCTGAGCAGACCAGTGTTAGCGCGAAGCCGAGGAGCTTTATCGCTTCTATCAACTCGTCATATGCGGCCTGGGCTTACCTGAAGAAAGGGTAGCTTCAGAGCTTCTGGGTTGGTGATGGGCTCAGAGATTGATCCGTCTGAAATCGCTGCCATAATTTCCTCTTCAAGCCTTTCGAAAGTGGAAGGATTGCTTAGTAGGTATTGCATTGTCCACTTGATGGCCTTTGCGGCTGTATCCGAGCCAGCGACCATGGGAAACATGATTTCAGACTGCGCGGAACGTTGGTCAAGCCCATGGCGAATGAAAGATCCCTATTCAACTTATTAACGATCTAAAGGTGTTAACGATGTTTTCTCAGTTTGGCTCACAAGTAGGTCGGGCTCGTCCTTTGCATCCGGAGCGAAACGTTTCACAACGTGCTGCTGGGCGAGTCTACAGACCACACCGGTTAACATAACGATGATTTCCCAAGTCACAGGCTAGATCTCGATACCGACCTCAAGACGCTTTGCTCCGTTGCAAACTCTTCTAACACAGCCCCTGCGAAAGGGATCCTAACAGTGTGACAGCCTCGGATCCTCATACAAAATCTTCTGAGCTGCGAGGTATGAAACAGTGAAGGTGTCGACTCCCGTAAAGCTAAGACAACCCCAAGTCTTCATCTTCCACACCGTCTCTAGAAGGGTTGCAGATGACTTCGTTCTACGTCATAATCAAGCTTTTCATGTGTCCAGCTGAAGATTTCAATAAGGCATGGCAGCATGGCACATTGGTACATAGACGCCACGAAGCGGGGAATCTGTCTCCCCGTCTGACCAGCTAGAGTAGCTTCTTTCAAGGAGTGCCGGGACAGGCACGACAGGGTCCAAGACGAATCAAGGGACCAGCTTAGAAAGTGTCTTATAACAGTGTCTCACAATGCCAACTTCGCTTCCCCAGCTAAGTGACAGATGACGCCATTCCATAGGGCTCGAGATCTGCAGGATCTTCAAGGGATTTCAAGACTTGTTTCTTATGTGCGTACTTTGCGCTATGGGGTCTGGATAGACTGGAAGTGCCAGCAAAGACGGAGTGCAAGGAAAGTAAGAACCAAATCAGCCCTCATGATATTTTCGCAGACTCAACCGAGTTCTGTTCCTCAAGTTGGCCATCGACGCCGGGGAGCAGTATTCGTGCTGACTACCTATGATGAGTGTGGCCTGATGAAGATCAGCCTATCTTTACGTCCAAGATCCTGCCTTTGCCCTTCATATCGACCTCCACCTAGCACCATGGGTAATGTTTGGTCCCATGTTCGTTTCTGCCCCATTATCATAGGCTAGTGAGACCTTAGTTTCGGCCGCTAAGGTAGCTCTATAGGGCCATCCCGCTGCATCCCTACAGGGAAACAACAGTGCGAATGGCTAATCATTTGGAACTAATCAATGATGGCTGAGGCGAACCCCGGACTAGACGCCACCAAACAGGTCAGAGGTATTTCCAAAAATGGACACATCTCGATGAGACGAGCGTTATATCGGCTTTCAATCCATCAGATGTAAGGCTCAGTGACGAGTGCCAAGCTTCATTGTCAGCTCGGGATGCTGCAATGGCGTGCACATACCTTCAGCTACGGCTGCCTTGCTGATGTCCTGTGTCGCATAAGCTCGGGCAAACTCATGGAAGGGAAGAAGCTGCTGTAAGAAGCAAGAAAGTATCAACATCGAAGTATATAAACCCAGGGCTTCATGGTCTGTGACAGCAAGAATAGAATCAGCAACACAACAAAACATTTCTAGAGCATAGTCTCCCAGAGTCGATTCTTTCCAAATTCATCATGAGATACCAATCTCTCTTCGTCTCCTCCATCTCAGTGCAGGCCGCACTGGCGGCGCTCAATGAGCCCTGCTATGGCTCTGGTGGTAGAGCCGGTATGATGACTTCACCTTTGCCTGGATGAAAGACTTTTGACTGGTACTTCTCTCAGGTGTCTGCGTAACTACAAGTTCGTGCTCTTCGAACGGAGGTACAACGATTGACGGCGCTTGTCCGGCCGATGCTTCCAACATCAAGTGCTGCACCAAAGCTTCCTGCGGAAGTGGGGGCAATTGTCGTTGGACAAGCGACTGTGCAGGAACATCTGCTTCCAATCAGTGTCCAGGACCAAGTGGCTTCAAATGCTGCTCCTCCACTGCTACCGGATTCGGTGTCTACGGCGACCCAACTGTTCCATCTGTCGGTGCCTGTAAGCAGGTTGCAGTCAGCGGCGCAAAGAAGATTGTCGCAGCATTTCCCGGGAGGGTCAGGCAAATCTACTGCACTCGCGACTGCACATGCCCTGGCGACTCGGATCACTGCTGCGGCAAAGCGACAGACATGATGTGCTCTGATGCTGGTGGTGTGAGTCAAGCTCGCGTTGATTATTTGCCTCAACGTCGCGACTAATCCCTCTGCAGGTCCCCACTATCTCTGGCAAGGAGATTGCTGAGTGGGTTATGAACAACCGTGAAACGCTCGACCTCAAGTACGTTATTTGGGGTCAGAAGATCTGGAATCCTTCTCAAGACTCGGTCAAGTCTTGGTCCAGTTGGCGAAGTATGGATGATCGCGGCGACTTTACCGCGAATCACTGGTGAGTTTAGGTGCTGAAGGAAGACCCAGAAATCCGTGCTCATCAATTTGACAGGGACCATGTTCATGTGAGCTACAACTAGGTGCCAGGGGAATACTTCGCGACAGTATGTTCATGGGAAAATCTAAGAATTTGGAACAAGCTTGTGGGAGCAGGGCAAGAATCCCCCAGTGTAGTAATGGATGGAGAGTTGTGCCCTTTGCTCGGGTCACGTACCCTGTAGGTAGCCGTCGAGGCATAAGTCCTGGCCTTAATATTAGATTGACGTTATGCCTCGCGAGCCGCAATGTTTGGACTTGGGAGTGCAGAAAATCCTTCGGGATGATCCACCTCATTTTGAAAAAAGTATGTTGTGACAATTGAAGTGCCTAAGTTGAGAGAATTTCCTTCCCAACATAGAAGGGGTTTTGCCCTGAACCAAACTAACAAAGGACAATTACCAGCCGCGGCATGACACGATATGCACCTGATATTTATCAGGGGTTCACCGGCTGTCTTTCCACTTCAATCCGATAGGACCTCCGGAAATGATAATCTTGCTATGCGGGGAACCCGCAAAAATCGCATTAGGAGATGCGGCCGGAACCAACATGCATGATTGTCCCCGGCCGAGGAGAGGGGTAACATGAGTCAAAGCATTCACAAAATTCTGATAAATCATTGCGATTAGATCTGTAGTATCGTGGTTGCTTCAATGTTTCTCATTCTTTGCCAAGCATATGATCTGTAATACAGGCTACAACCTCGTTTTCAAACATGTCAGCAGGAACCCGAGACCGTGGAACTTAATGAGATCAATCCCAATCCCGGCTGTGATGACGACACCCTCAAGCCAAAATCTGTTCTCTATAAGGTCGTTCGCCGGTGGGGAGAAGCTGCCGCAACTTTGGGGAGACCTTTCCAAGACATCAAAGGTTTGAAGATGTTCTGGTCGAAGTAGGATTCAAAGACGTCCACATTCAAAGATTTAAATGGCTAAGTAATCCTTGGCCAAAAGATAAGAAACATTGTGAGATAGGGTACTGAAATTACGACAATTTTGCGGCTGGTCTGGAAGGCTTTGTCATGGCACCCTTCACAAGAGCACACAATTGGACACCCCAAGAGGTGACAGTGCTGTGTATGGAAGTGCGGAAGGCAATTAACAACCCGAATGTTCATTCCTACTCTTCCATGTAAGCTTACATGACCAAGCCCGGTTGACGCCGGACTACTGACGAGATCTAGTTGGTCGATCTACGCAAGAAAGCCGGAGGCAGCGACCCCGGATCATTGAGTCAGGGAAAAGTCTTGGCCTCAGATGTTGAATATCCGATATCATGGCAACACAATATTCCCCAAGAGGGTCGTTCAGTCCACGTAAGTCATGATCTAGCTGTGGATCCTTACGTTGCGACTTGACTTCGCCGAGATGCAGGGTCGAGAAGTCACTTCACTGATACACGCGTTGAGTTGCTATAGACAATTGGTTGCTCAGCCTAGTTGGGACACGAAGTACATTCAGGTTGTTCCATACCGGTTCAAAGAATATATGGAAGGGTACTATCTTTGTCATTCATCGAAAGACGGGGTTCTTGAGATGTTTCTGAAATGTATGGACAGAAAAGTGCGTGGGGGCTAGAACGCTTCTCGACATGGGAACCATAGGCCCTTATTGTTTCTCATTGTTGTGAGGATGGATCAGCGATTCTTCTTATTTATCTATATTAAGGCGTGTGAAGTCTCTCCTTGCACCCAGATGCTCTCATAGTAAGCGGTTATGCGTTCTACTTACGGGGCATTTACGTGCCCCATATGGAAAGGGCCGCAGGGTGCCACTTAGCAGTATTGGCCCGCCTAATCCACACGAGGCACATGCCTAGGCATCATTTGCCGACTTTCCGCTCCAATATAATAGGTTTGCATGCGAGATGTAACCGGAATGAAAGATTACTGGTAGTTTTCTTCATCAGGAAGTACAACCGCCATCTCCGGCATGGTCGCCGCAGACGTGCGTGAGTATCACATCGCAGGTGTGGGGTAGCCTACCATCGAACGATGGGTTTGCAAGTGATAGAACCAACAGAGACCGGTCACTGCGTTCAATCTGATGCAAAAGCTTGAAGAAGGCGGAAACGCAGCCGTACATAATTACGTATCTCCCAACTTCGCCTAGACGAACTGAGGAGAGACTTGTCATTTTACTGAACCTTTAGTTGTCGTGTACCATGTCCGACATTGACCAAACACGCAACGCTGGGCAAAGCCCAAAATCGGCTGCGTCCCGAGGCACTTCACCTCACAACGCAAACAATGTCACAACGCAAATCACGCCAGCACTAGACGCTGAAGAGGTAACAACACTATTTACCACCTTTGACTGGATTTCATTGCCTAACGAACTTGTCCATTGAAAAGCTCAGCGGAGATGACCTTTCTGTCAGAGGCGAGGTAAGTGCTAGTTCCTTCCTTCTTCCCTCTATCAACCGAAGGGTGGAAACCCACGAGCCATTCTACTAAGAACTTCAAAATCTAGAGCGTCGCATCATCAAGCACCAGTGTGACCAGCTCCGTTCTCCAGTATCGGACAGAGAATGGGCGAACATACCATGGCTATAAAGATGGCAGTAGGTTGTCTCTCCTCATTCTGAATGAGCAAAAGCTAAGTGTAGACAAGAATATCTCATGCCCAACGATGACAGGGAAAACGAACGATTGGGTATGGATGTCTTTCTTGCTTACGAATTTTCAACTCGCAATCATTAATAGTCTAACAGATATTCAACATAATATGTTCATCCTCACCTTCGACAACCAATTGGGACGTGCCCCAGTGAACGCGAAAGACACCAGTATCAAGGTCGGTCGGGTACTTGATGTTGGTACAGGGACCGGTATTTGGGCATTGGACTTTGCAGATGAACATCCAGAGTCAGAGGTAATTAGAAAAATTGCTGAACAAATATTTCAAATACTAACCTATTTCTATTAAGGTCCTTGGTGTTGACCTTTCACCCATTCAATCAGCATTGTAAGCTCCACCCGGTTCTATCCTGAAACCAGCGTTGTTGACAATTCTATAGCGTTCCTCCCAATGCGACATTCGAGATTGACGATATCGAGGAGCCGTGGACTTTCTCGCAACCTTTCGATTACATTCACAGTCGCTTAATGACATCAAGCATTGGTAATTGGCAGAAGTATATCCAAAAATGTTTCGAGTAAGTTACAAGCATAGCTCGGCCAACTGAATTTACGCTGATCATGCCACCACCGAAGCAACCTGAACCCTAACGGATATCTTGAGCTCAATGAGGTCGACTTGTACTGTAAGTCAGATGATGGTACACTTGCCGACGATGCCGCCCTAAATAGGTTCTCGAAGCTATGGGGCGAAGCGGCGGTCATGTTTGGGCATGCATTCCAGGACAACGCAACTCTGAAGGACCTCATGGCCGACGCCGGGTTTGTAGACATTAACGTGAAGGTATTCAAGTGGCCTTCCAACCCGTGGCCTCGGGACAGGAAACACAAAGAGCTTGGGTATTGGAACCTCGATAACTCCGTTGCTGGGCTTGAAGGTTTCATGCTAGGTGCTTTAACGAGAGCCCACAAGTGGACTAAAGACGAGGTCACTCTCTTTGCAACGGAAGTCCGCAACGAGATGAAGGACCCACGTGTTCACTCGTATCAGACGATGTGAGTGACTCTACTGCTGCTGAGTGATTTGACTAATTCTCGAATCAGCTGGTCTGTGTACGGCAGAAAACCTGCTGCGGAGAAAGTTACAGCCAATTGATTCAGCAAGGCGCTATTGAGAAATGAGCTGACTTTAAATTTTGAGGGAGTAAACAATTATGTGGCCATGGAGGAGGAAGGGAAGACAGGATTCAATACAGGATAGCAGTGATTAAAGTCCATAATTCTCAGGGCTTGCACTGAATTCCCACGATCTTCTAGCTAGAGGAGAGGAATAATGACTTTTGATCTTGCCTCTGGATCCCAATTCTTGTCAGTTAATTGCTCGGGTACTCGACATCGATAATCGACATATCACAGGTCATAATAACCACACTAGTCTCCAGCATCCGCTACGACGAAAAGCTTTGATATCGGAAGCTCTACTGCAATCCTTTTCATGTGGAGTCAACCATTATTCCTCCAGATCTAGATACGAGCACTTTGGGGAGAATGTTGGTCATGCAGACCAAAACAGGGCCAGGAAGATACAAATGATAGACCCACTGCCCAATGATTGCTCGGATGTGATACGCGTCATTTCGTCCTTTCGGGAGTTTCCTCCATCGACCTTGTGTTGGTTGGGGCGTTCGCCGCAAACATGCATAATTATCTCCAGCCAAGGAGAGGGGTAACACCACATCCTGGTCAATTAGTTCTACAGATAAAGAGGATGGGGGTCTGCCGGAATTTCATGTTCCTCTTTATTCTGGTATCTGGCAAAAGTATCGGTCGAAAGTCGCCTCTAAATCTAGGTGAAACTTGGCGAACTCATCTCTATCGTCGCTCCAACAAGGTGTTCATTTGGCCTTGCTCTCAGCAATGTGCGCGACAGACAACGCGGCCAGCAGCCCGCCTCGTGCTGTAGACGGGGGTCAAGGCAATATTGCCGTAGAGGATCGTGATATTATCGCTGCCGAGGAGGTGATGAACTGTAGCCAATACGCGCGTAGAGTTCATACTGATATTTGGCTTCTCTAAGGTCACGGATGATGACTCTTCGGCTACTGGCGTGCGTATTCTGTCCGAAACTCTTCATGGTCTAGGCCCATTCACTCATTGATGATCCTCCTTTCAGCAAAGTGTGGCTTCATCTAGCACAAGTCTGTCTAGTTCGATTCTCGACTACCGCTTAGAGAACGGTAGAACCTACCACAAGTACAAGGACGGCAGTGAGTTTCCCCTAGAACGTGAAACATCACGAGACTGACTTAGATACTTTAGAATACTACGTTCCTAATGATGAGAGAGAGAATGATCGACTTGGTATGTACAGCCAGGTTCTTTTCTCCGCGGTATCCTCGGCCGCTCTGTGCGTTAATAGGAAGTGCACGCTGACCTCAGGTCCGAAATCTAGACTTGCAACACAACTTGTTCATTCGGACATTTGGCAACCGACTTGGCACTGCACCTCCCAATGAGCCTGGGTCCAAAGTCGGACGGGTTTTGGATGTAGGCACAGGCACAGGAATTTGGGCGATTGATTTCGGAGACGAACATCCAGAGGCCGAGGTTAGTCGCTGAGCAGTCGCACTTATGAATTTTGAGATCCAATTCTGACGTTGAAGTGACAGGTTCTCGGTATCGACTTATCTCCCGCTCAGCCAGAATTGTAAGTGAGTTTCTTCCCGTCTTACGGTCGATGGCTGACGTCCATGACAGTGTACCTCCGAATGTGAGGTTTGAAATCGACGACCTTGAGGAGCCTTGGACATACTCACGTCCTTTCGACTACATCCACAGCCGCATGATCACGTCCTGCGTCAAGGATTGGAAGGCCTACTTTCAACAAAGCTTTGAGTACTACCAGCCGCGAACTTGTTTGACTGCGAGATCATCATTCCTGACATGCATTCTGTAACAGTCATCTCAACCCGGGTGGATATCTCGAAATCCACGAGATTGACGTCGAGCCTGACTCCGATGACGGCACGTTAAAAGCGGACTCAGCTCTCATGAAGAGCCTACGGGCTTTGGCAGGAAGCTGCTGTCATCTTTGAGCGCCCTTTCGAAGACATTAAGTCACTGGCTGGTATTATGGCTGATGTTGGCTTCGAAGATGTCCACTTGGAGAGATATAAGTGGCCCACGAATACATGGCCGAAAGACCGGAACTACAAAGAAATCGGAGCGTGGACCTATGAAAATCTTGCTGTCAATTGGGAAGGGTTCATTATGGCGCCTCTAACTCGCGCCCACAATTGGACGAAGGAGGAAGTAATGCTACTTGCTATGGAAGCTCGTAAGGATCTAGGCGACAGAAGCATCCACGCCTACTTCACCATGTAAGGAGACTGCTCTATTTTCGATGCTCCCCATCTCAATGCTAACATTCAATAGATGGGCGATCCACGGTCGAAAGCCATTGATAGCTAAGTCGACTGAAGAAGCAACTGCGAGTTGAGCTTGGCTTCAGGTTTACGAACTTGGGATGGGGCTAGGTCTGATCTTTGCAATAGATTCACAAATCGTAATTGTTGATTATGTTTGCCTAATAGTAACCTTCAAAGGTATCTTCATGATGTTTTGCCACCTGTGAGACAGCTTCTTTGATCGCTGGGCTGTCCTCTTTGGGCCCCAACACATCAAATGCCAGCCCGTAGGTCTTCTCATTCTGAATCGCTGCGTAGACGACCTTGGCGACATCTTCTCTGGGAATCATGCCGACGGTGCCAACCTTTCCTGCCCGTGCCTTTCCGGTGCTAGGCCCCTCAGTCAAGCCACCAGGTCTCACAATGGTGTAGTTAAGCTTGCGAGCCGCATTCCCCACCCTCAACTCCGTGTCGGCCGCTAGCTTAGCCCGGAGAATGGGACCGATGATACCCCACATGCGGTCGCTGAGCTTCTCATCGGCATCGGTATACCAGTCCGGGACGGGCTTGCTGTCTCGGTCGCGGACGTCGAGGGCGCTGACGACGATGTAGCGTTTGGCGACCACGTTGGCTTTGGCCAGGGCATCCATGGCGCGAATGGCTCCATCCCGGTCAACAGCCTCAGCGGACTTGGGGTCCTTGCCGCCAGCTGCCCACACCACAACGTCGGGCCGGGTGCCTTCAATGATTTTAATGAAGTCGACCTCGGAAGCTGTAGAGATGTCTTGGACAATTGGCTTTGCGCCGATTGCTTCCAAGTCCGGAATTTGTTCCGGATTGCGGATAACGCTGAAGATGGTGTGAGGGGTATCGGCGTCCCGAAGGATTGCTGTCAGTTGACGGGCGGTTTTGCCATTGCCCCCAAATATAAGGGTCGTCGGCATGTGAAGGATTGAAGCGTCGCCCATGTTGACTCGTTATGTTTACACACGTAGTATTTAAGCTGAAATATAAGGAGAGGTGATAAAGGTACCGGGAGATATGTCGGACTCTCAATGGAAGCTCCGAAAGCGCCGAAGCGTTAGCTCCTTAATTGACTTCGATGACGGCATAATCCCGACAGGCACTGGAACGGAAGAAGTCCAGAGCCAGGAGGAAAGGTTTCGGGCAGCTGTTTTTCCGTCACCCTCAAACTGGACGCGACTTGGTCAGCGCCAAGTTACACAGTCTCACAGCACATTTCACCCCTGAGCCAAGGTGACTTTGTTCACTGAGGAGACGTTCAGCAGTTAAGTTAGGTTCTCTGCCAACCTTATTAATAGCACCGAAATTGTGTGGACAAAGTGGGTAACTTCCGCACCAGAAGACATCCCCTAACTGTTTAAACGTTCAGCCACAACAGCTTTGTCTACCCTATTTTGCCAGCCTTCGGCTTTTGCACAGCTAGGTACATGTCTCGAAAGAACTGCTTCCTCAGATGGCCTTGTCGGATGATACCTCGGATTCCTCTTGCTATGATACCGGCCGAGTTCCATGTCGGGTGATCCGGATCTGGTAGGGCGTCCGCCCCTGCAGCGTCTTTACACGAACAAGCAACAGCACGCTGCGACGGTGCGCTGATCGTCGCCCACGTCGCTCGTATTTCAGGCTGTGTGCTAGGTAATTACAGCTGCCTTATTGGGCAGGAGACTATTCCCCACGATGCATTGGGGATAAGCTAGGGAGGCCTAGTCTCGGGAAATGAACTAGTCCAGCACTTAACTTCAAGCATATCTGGGCATGGTCCACAACGGTAGGAACTGATGGGATGATGGGACCTCACTATCGGCATTGGAAAGAACCGGAATAACTTGGTGGGAAAGGGGAATACGAGATCTTGTCCCTCCAAGCGCCCAAATGTCTCCGTCCCATCACTGCAGGGTCCAAGGGTCGCCCCGTCCAACGTCGCATTGCCGAAATGGAAGAGCTTTTCTGGAAACCCATAAAGCGAATGAGGGCTGGCACGATGTCAGATGAACTGAATGTTTGGTCGCGCAACTGCCTTTCGTCCCAGTCGTTCGCTACTATCGGCCTGCACTCATCATGAAGCAGAGCATTCTTTCCACGCTCGCTCTAGCGTCCATCGCCGCGACAGAGTATGTTTGGCCTTCTCAGTACGATGAGCTCGAGGATCACCTCTCTCTGCAGTCCGGATACCTTCGCAGGGGCTTCATCGATGGTCAGTTGTCTCTCTACCACCGATTATCAACTAACTACTGACAACTCATTAGGTGTCATTACGTGTGGCTTCGGCACAAGCATCCCCGGCCGTCAGAACTCTGCTGAATGGATCCGCGCCGCTTTCCACGACATGGCCACGCACGATGCTGCCGCCGGTACCGGTGGTTTAGACGCGTCCATCTTCTTCGAGTTGGATCGCCCGGAAAATATTGGAGGCGCCTTCAACAACACGTTTGGATTCTTTAGCAGCTTTCACTCCATTCGCGCCTCTGCTTCTGATCTGTTGGCCATGAGTGTCCTCGTCGCCAGCTTTGCGTGCGGCGGTATCCAAATCCCGTTTCGTGCCGGCCGTATTGACGCCCAAGAAGCCGGCCCTGCCGGTGTCCCTGAGCCTCAGACCGATCTCAACACTACCCAGCTGGCTTTCACCAAGGCAGGCTTCTCTCAGAGCGACATGATTGCCATGGTGGCGTGCGGTCATACTCTGGGAGGCGTGCACAGCATGGACTTCCCTGAGATCGTCGGTGTCGCGGCGGACCCCAACAACGATACCGTAGCCCACTTTGACACCGAATTTGCCAAGTTCGACAACGTCGTCGTGACCGAATATTTGGATGGCACAACCAAGAACCCTCTGGTTGTTGGCACAAACGACACCCTCAACTCAGACAAGCGTATCTTTGCTGCAGATGGAAACAAGACGATGCAAGCCATGGCCGACCCTAATGCTTTCCAGACTACCTGCGCCGACATCTTTAGTCGCATGATTGATACCGTCCCTGCCAACGTTAAACTCAGCGACCCCATCGTAGCCACAGATATTAAGCCCTACATCAGCGGGCTCTTCCTCAAAGACGATGGCAGCCTGTCGTTTGGCGGCCGCATTCGCATCCGCACCACCGCAGTCACTGGCCGAGACCCCAATGATCTCTCGGTCCAGCTGACGTACGCTGACCGCAACGGCAACGGATCCAACGTTATCACTACCCGCAAGGCAACCTTTCAGGGTGGAAGTGCCTCTGGCTTGTGGAGGGAGAGCTTCCACTGGTGGGAGTTTGACACCACAATCAGCCCTGACACGGGCATCAGCAAGTTCTACATCCACGTTACGAAGCCGTCAACCAACGAGACTATCACGTACGACAATGCTGGCAACGGATATCCTATGAGTGATGTCCTCCTGTATCAACAGTCTAAATCTTGCATCGGAAATGTGGCGGATGGCAAGCTGCCGGTCACAGTCAAAGCTCTTGTTCGCAAGGACCGTGTACCCGCCACCGCTGATGGCCTAACTATGGATTTGGTTCATGAGGTCCGTAGGCAGGGAGTGATTGTTCCCAGACTGGACGTTGAGAAGATCAACTTCCAAGCTACTGGAGAGGACCAAGGCCAGTGGTCCGTCTATACAGCCAGTGGAAGTGTCGATGCTGATGGATGGAACACCAGTTTTGATATTAAGTTGGGTGGCGAGCAGTCAGTCGAAGTTGCCTTTCAGAAGACAGGAGCTTTGAGCTCTTGCAGCTAGACATAAGTAGTATCCGTAATGGTAATGAAATTTAGATGCCCAGTTTTGGGTGCAGTGCAACGATGAAACAACTCCTAGCTCACCCACCATTTCTCATGGTAGCTTCTAAGGTCAATATCACCACTTAAAGCGCCTTTCTCCAACCAAGGAGTAAGATCTAGTTCCACCCCAGCGTCGCCGTGAGCAGCCGCAACATCCTTCTTGGTCCAGCCATTCCCCAGCCACCCAAACCTGTTTCCCTGGGGGTTCTGATAGGTGTACTCAAAGTCCTCCCACCTCGGATCCTTTCTAACCAGATCAACATGAGCAGCACTGCCGGGCCAGAGGCCATGGATTCTCCCGCCCTTGATCCCACCATTGTACCACGAGCTGCAGTGCTCGCTCATGACAGTCCGCGGGAAGAAGGCTTCAGTGTAGGCTCGGAAATCACGAGTTGCAGCTGTTGTCGGAGCTATGGTCCGCAGGCCTTGGGTCGCAAATTTGCGAAGTATCTTGGCAACGTATGTGAGCTGGTTCTCTACCGCATGACACAGCGTTCCGGCTGGTCCTGTGGCGTTTGGTCCAAGTACAGTGATGAAGTTCGGAACCTCGGGAGCAAGCATTCCCAAGTAAGTGTCAGGGAATCCTGGTTTGCCGCCAGGTCTCCAAGCCCTCTGGAGATCAAGTCCTTTGTAAACGACAGGGAACTGCGTACTGAATGTAATGTCGTGACCTGTACTGCATATGACTGCGTCAACTTCGCGAAGAGTGTCTAATCACCGAGTCAGTGAAAGATGCTCCATAGATCAGCAGAAATTGGAACCCACCATCCACAGTCCGAATGCCGGTTTCAGTGAACTCTGAGATCCGGTCGGTGATGTAGTTGACATTTTCCGCAGTCAGCGCCTCGAGATAGCCCGGTCCAGGTGTCAGCCGACGACAGCCTACTGGGAATTCAGGTAAAATCTCGTCAGCAAGCTTGGAATTCGCCCCCAGTCGTACTCTCATAAGCTCTTTGATGTAATCTTCGGCCGCTGCATTCTGAGGTCCGTCTTTGAAGATTCCGCCGAAGCGGCTGAAAAGCTTTGCCTCCAGAGCTTTACGGAATTTGAGATACTTTTCGGGGTCTGCCCGCGCGTCTTCGATGTTTTCTGCAACAAAGTCTGCCAAGTCTTCTCCTCCGATTGGTGCTGCAACCCATGTTTTGTTGCGGGCATAATGATCAACTCTTGCAGCGATTTTTTGTAGTTGCGGGAGCACTTGTAGTCCGGAAGCGCCATTTCCAATGACTGCGATCCGCTTTCCTTTTGGGTCGAACTCAGGGTCCCAATTCGAGGTATGTCGTAGGTGGCCCTCAAACTTGTCGATCCCTGGATACTGAGGAAGCTTTGGGTCGCTGAAGTGGCCCGTGGCAGTAATCAAGAAGTTGGCTTCGTCAGTGACTACACCATCGTCTGTTTGAATTGTGACGATCCATCTGGCCTTTTCCTCAGACCATTCCGCAGATGTGACGCTATGCCTGAAGCGGATATACTTGCGCACGTCGTACTTGTCCGCAATATCTTGCCAGTAAGATTGGATCTCAGAGCCGGTGGCATACGCCTCGGTCCAATCTGTCGATGGAGCAAACGTAGCCTGGTAAGCGTGAGCGGGTACATCGCACCGAACACCAGGGTAGATGTTGGTATGCCAGACGCCTCCCTTCGTTGCCTCGCGTATCAGTGACTAGTGCTTCGTGATACCATTCTCTTTCAACTTACAAGATCGTCGTTTCTCTCGTAGATTATGAGATCTAGGTTGGGAACCTTCGCGGGAAGTAGAATGGCAGCGGTGATGCCAGAAATGCCGGCACCCACAACGATAGCTCGGACACTTTGATGTTCATCAATGGGATGCTCTTCTATTAAGAAATGAGGGTCGATGGTTCGAAGAATATTGTTGTCAGCCGCTGGAAGGGAACTTGCACCATCGATAGACGGGTCTAGTATCGCGCCTGGAGCCATGGTTGATCACTCTGACAAAAACGAGACGACAATGCTTGACACTTCTCTAAGTATGGATTGCGATTGAGTTTCTATCTTCATTATCGTCGATTACCGGCGTATCACATGGATGACGCAACTATCACGGTTGCTTGCAAATACCCCCTGTTCCCGATGCAATAGGATTGTGCATGCAGCGTGCTGCAGACACTTGGAAACAAATTTCCTTCGCATGTGTTTTGAGGGGAAGGAAGACTCGATTGGTTCCAGACAAGCATACAATCAAGGATGCATCAATTCTCCACGATACGCCATACGCTATCTAGCTTGCGAATTTACTAAATCTCGGGCTTGTCCGGGTTTTAATTCTGATAAGACATTGCGAAACTCGAACATCCGTACGTACTGCCGAAATCGGCTCGGACGAATTGCGTGATCCTTCAAGACCAAGTGCGCAATGAGTTATCAATGGAAATTTGCTCTCTTCCGCCAACAAGTTGGACTCAGCGCAGCACGAGCTTACCCCGCCAAGATGGAACCTTCTGCCAGGCGGCAAATTATACTCAATGCATTTGACATGTTCACTCCGAGCCATCTCTGCTTCGGTCAGTGGCGCAGGGGCGAAGATGAAGTCGCGGACAAATTTAGAGATCTCAGTTACTGGACCAATCTCGCGCAGACACTTGAGCGGGGAGACATTCACGCTTTGATTCTGGCTGATACTTATGGTCAACACGATATCTACAATGGAAGCGCTGAACCAACGATACGGACAAGTTGCCAGTTCCCGATGGGCGACCCCGTTATCGTAAGTGACAAATGTAACATTTGTACCGATGGCCATGCATTGACATTAGGAGTAGCCGGTGACGGCGATGGCAACTGTAACGAAGAAACTTGGGTTCATTGTAACAACCAGTACGAGTTACGAGGCACCATTCGTCGTCGCAAAGAGGTTCTCGACGCTCGACCATCTTACCAAAGGGCGGTTTGGCTGGAACATCGTCACTTCTTTTAAGGAATCTGCTGCCAAGGCCGTAAGTTAGACTCCTCAAAAAGGTCCTCTTCAAGATCATGCATAACTTTCTTCAGGTCGGGGTCTCATATGTCGAACATGATGAGAGATATGCCGCTGCTGATGAATACTTGGAGTTGCTCTACAAGTAAGGTCATATGAGTGTACACGAAGATCCTAGGCTAAGAGGTCAGAATATGGGAAGGCTCGTGGGCAGACGATGCTCTCAAGAAAGATGCAACGAACAACATCTACGCCGATCCCAGTCGTATCCGTTGGATCAAGCATCATACGGCAAGGTTCAATGTGGATGCTCCTCACATCCTGCATCCTTCACCTCAAAGAACTCCATTTCTGCTTCAAGCAGGGACATCATCGTAAGTACGAACCATACAATTCACACGCCTACTTTCGGCTGAACCTTCACAGCGCTGGCATAGCTTTCGCTGCCAAACACGCAGAGGGTATCATGATATCGGGGCTTTCACCTCACATCTTGGCGCCTCGCGTAGCAGCCATTCGTCAGCAAGCAGCGAAAGCTGGCCGTGACCCTGGTAGTGTCAAGATTTTCGCCGTCATTACACCAGTCATTGCGAGAACAGACGAAGAAGCCACTGCAAAATACCGCAAAGCCTTGGAATTTGCGAACTTCGAAGCTGGTCTTGCATTCTTTTCAGGTAATGCTGCAATAGACCTCGCCAAATACGATTTAGACGCAGAAATAAGACCAGATGATGCTACCATTGATGGGCGGGTACACTCCATGGTCAGCAGTCTGAAATACCGTGGCGATGACATTCCAGCTTGGACGCCTCGAAATATTGGAAAAGTCATGGCCATCGGCGGGAACGGGCCTGTGCCAGTTGGATCGGCAGCTCGTGTTGCAGATTTCCTTGAGGAGTGGGTGAAGATTGCAGATTTAGATGGGTTCAACGTTGGATATGTCACAACCCCTGGGAGTTTCGAAGATGTGGTAGATTTGCTAGTGCCTGAGCTTCGCCGAAGAGGGCTATACGGGTACGACGGACTATCGGGAGATGAAATCACTTTGCGTGAGAGGATGTATGGCGTTGGCCAGAAACATCTCCGCCACGACCACATTGGAGATCAATACAAGTACAAGTAGGGCCATAATTCGTATGAAAGAGGGGAACGAGGTGGTCTCTGAGACTTGCTAGACATCATCCCTGAAGAGTGCACAGGAACCAGGATTTGGCTCCATTCAATCAACCCCCACTTGCCATGTTATGTTGTCATTCGTTCTAAAGTTGCATCAGTTCTGAGGACTCGGTAACAGGCCGATAATGTGCTCTGTCGGCCTCGCTCTGACCAGCAGGGACACAAAGGGTTTTTGATGCCCCTACCATGCCGGTACAAAAGTAAGTAGTATTGCGAATTACTTCTGATTACATCCGCGACCATCCACCTAACGACCTTCGACTGCCATGGACTCCAAAAATGCATCAAAAAGAGATACTGGTAAGGATCTTGGGCCTCAAGAGCCCTCGTCATCAAGATGGGATCTCCTAAGCGGTGTCATATGGGATGGTCCTCGAACAAAAGAAGAACATCGCCTTGTGCAACGCCTCGACTTCTTCGTATTGTAAAGAATCCCATGTTTTGAATATGTGCTCAGAGCTGCGCTGACCATGCTCACGACAGAAGCTGGGCTACCTTTGGATATTTCGTCAGGCTACTCGACTCAAGCAACATCAGTAAGGGCAACTCTTGGCACTAGGACACTGAAACAATGTGTGAAGTTCTTACCAAAAATAGCAAATGCGTATGTCAGCGGTATGAAAGAAGACCTCGACTTTCAAGGCAACGAGTACAACCTGTTACAAACTTTCTTTACTTGCGGGTATCTGGTCGGTCAAATTCCTTCACAGTTCTTGCTCACTCGCTGTAGGTTCTTGGAATGCAATTAGTTCTTATATACAGCCCAAAAGCTTAACATCTTCCAGTCCGGCCCTCAATTTACCTACCCGTGGCGGAGCTTCTCTGGACCATTGTCACATTTTGTTTTGCCGCTGTCAAGGACGTTCGTCATGTCTTAGCAATGAGATTCCTGCTAGGATTCCTTGAAAGTCCCTTTGCCGTCGGCGTTCTGACCATCATGGGAAGCTGGTACACGCCTCGAGGTAAGAGCATCCATATTGCGAAGACTCACTTCTTTGTCCTTACCTCGTCCCTTAGAACTCTCCAAGCGGATTTCAATCTTTTATTCGGCCAGCTATGCTGCTAGCATGTTCAGCGGATACCTCCAAGCCGCAATCTATCGAGGTCTCAATGGAGCCGGCGGTCTCCCAGGTTGGCGGTGGCTTTTCATTTTCTGTGGCATAATCTCGATCTGGGCTCCCATCTGGGGATTTTTCGCCGTCCCTGATAACCCTCATATCACAAGGGCTCGCTGGATGCGTCCGAGTGAGCAGGCAAAGCATATCGCGAGGATGGAAGCCATCGATCGGCGCAAACCCGAGCCTTTGACAAAGGCCAGGGTCTTGGGTATTTTCACGAACTGGCCCATTTACGTCTTCAGCTTCGCATTGATGTGAGTTCTCCGTACCTCTCATGATACCCAGTATGGAACAGTCTGACATAACTCGCAGTTGCCATTGCGTTGTCACACAACCCCTTAACTACTTCTCTGTTTGGCTGAAGTCCTTGAACCGCTTTACGGTCTATCAGATCAACCTCTTTCCTACCGCAGCGCAAGCCGTCGGTCTTGTGACCACTCTGCTATATGCTTGGCTCTCTGATGGGTTGGGGAAGAGGTGGCAGGTTTTACTGATTCCAGCTGTTAGTACATGAAACATCGGCATCCCGATCTCGCTGACAAGACGCAGACCATCAACCTTATCGGCATGATCATGGTTGCAGTTGAATCAAGCTACGCGTTGACCTTTGTCGGATATGTTATCAACGCCGCTTCGTGGGGCTTTTGGCCGGTCCTTTACGTGAGCCACTCTTTCTGCAGCTTTCCTGCCTCTTTAATACTGATGTCGTCTACCTTAGGCCTGGGCAATTGAGATCATGCACAAGAACATGGAGGAGCGTGCGATCGTTATTGGGGTTGCACAGACCCTAGGCCAAGCTTTCATTGCATGGGTTCCAGGTTTGCAACTATCTTGCCCTCAACATCTTGAAAAGACGCTAATTGTTGCAGTTGTGATTCTCGATGTGGGTAAATATGCACCGTCCTTCCACATGGGGTTCTCCGTCATGTGTGGAGTGAGCGTTTTGGAGCTTTCGAGTATCTTCATAATCAGACACTTTGAGAAGCGAGAAAAGGCGAAGAACGAACAGTCCATTCTTAGCAACTAATAATCACCGCTCTCACTTCAGACTTCAACATTTCCGGTATTGGTATATGATTGGAGATCTCATGGTCTAAGTATGCAAATGCTCGTACAGATAGATAATGTAGACGGTCACTTATGATTTGTAGTGAGAAAGCCTGCGGATGTGAGTGTTAGTCCTTGTCCGTGAGGTACCATCAATATCCAACACTGAGAAGTACTTACTCAATCAAGTTTCCGTCGGGATCTCTCACGTAAACGCTCTGGATGGGACCCTGTGCTCCCGTTCTCGCAACCACCTTCTCTCCCTCAAGAACCTGAACTCCGTCCCCTTGGAAGCCCTTGATCAGTTCCTCAAGATTGGTGCCATCCTCCACCAAGAAACAGAGGTCGGCTGTGCCTGGCAGTGCCGTCTTAGCTTTTGGCTCAAACTCCTTGCCCTGCTGATGCAGATTGATCTTGTGTGTGCCGAACTTCAGTGCGTGCCTCTGGACGGATGGATCTAGCGGCGACGTGAAAGTTTCTGCCTTCATCCCGAGGTACTTGGTGTACCATTGGACTGTCTTTGGGACGCTGGCGCAGGTAAGAACGAGGTGATCCAGCGTCTTGACGACGGCTCTGGTTCCGGACATGGTGATAGAACGGGGCACAAAGGTACGATGAAAACCTAGAGCCTTTGCGGATTGCAAATTTGATTGGCGTGACAAGTCGAGTCTTGGCAATGATGGAGGTTTTGGCCTGGCTTGGGGTCTCTGCAAATGTTTTGCGCGAGGTTTAAAATGAAGAAGAAAAGGAATGGGGATTTGGAGAGCGGCAAGGACGTCATTAGTGCATTGCTTGGGCGGACCGTGCCGAGTTTCCGAAGCGTTCGGCTTGCGGATCCGGCGCCGAGTTTAGATTCGCCGGGACCCCACATCCGAGGCCCGCCGTTCCTAGTTCGGAATGAGATCCAGGTCTTCCAAGCTACTTCGATATCAAGATCGGAGATTGATGAGATTTTCTTTTCGACAGCATGTGACTGCTTTTCTTGCTATTGTAGAATTCTACTAGTACACCATGAGGAAGATCTTAAGCGTACATCAATGGGCTAAGTGAAGACTGGCTGTAACCAGCCACTTTGGAAATGTGATAGACTGGTAGAGCCCTAAAGACACAACACTTTCCCAGGATATGATGTACAAAAACTACACTCATCATAAATTCGTCAATGATATGTCTGGTTGGGTATCGAGGTAATGCGCAAGATCAACTTCATTCCCGGTGCAATTCTGCCTTGGAAAGCCACATCAACTTCAGTCTCTAATACACCTTGGTGAATCTCTAGGGATGTTACTTTCAGCCTTCATCTAGTGCTGACGCTGTTCATTTGTAGCCTCTGCTGGCGGATGATACGAATGAGAGGTGTGTTGATAGTGATCACTCACTGGCGATCGACATCTGCGGTACGCAACACGAAGACGAAGCCAGAGGAGGATTCACTCCTCGCAATCCCACAATAGAATTGCCCATCCAGAAACTTTGAATCCAGCGTGAGGCAAAGTAAGATGCAGAGCTAGTCGAACACGAGCGCCCGTCATCTCGAGGCTAAGGCACATCGGCGTCAGGGGCAACCCACAAATGAAAGACCCCTGGACTTTAAGACAGTCATATGAAGTAACCATATTTGACGACGGCCTCATGTAGTTGTCTGATCGTCCTCAGTATTTTATTGGCTGTCTTGAGTCTGCTTGCGCAGGTGGCTGAGGCGGAGTGGGTGTACATGGTCCGAGATTTGTGCCACGACGCCCGCATGTGTGGGCTAACGAGTAGGGTGATATGGGCAAATGACAGTGTTATTGTTTGCATTCATCGTGGTCGCAAAGGCAGCGAGTGACGGATTTCGAAGCCCGAAGACGATTGAAATGGCTCTATAGACGTATGATATCAGGTGAAATCTCAACGCACGACGCTGGGTCAGTGATCGCAAGATTGATAGATGTCGAGATGCAATCGGGTCCCCATTGTAGCGGCCACGTACAATATGGCATCCTTTGTCTAATCGTTCTTGATGTGTAAATTAAATTCTGTAGGGCGGGAAGAGGGATTCAGGAAGCATCACTTGAAACTGCCAATTGGAGGGAAATTCAGGCTCACACGACAACGACGTTGCAAGCCACTCGCCATAGCCAAATTAAAACAACGTTAGCTACCGGCAGCTGAAAAACAAGCTTAAATCTGATTCGGCAGCACGGCACCATGCTCACAGCCTGCCGCAACAATGCATAACCGACAGGAGCTAAGTCCTGGCTGCAGTGCTGGCAGCGGATTGACAGGCAGACAGACTCCTATGAACAAACCCGGTGTCTGGGGTTTTGATGATCTTCTTGATCGTGTTCCTCGAATCAGCCTAGCCACTCAGCCTGACAACTTCAAGAGATCGAGCTTATCGACGTGCGCGGGGTAACTCCTCCCCGAGCTTACCTGCAGCCACAAGAAAGCTGAGCTCTCGAAATAAGCAATTGCTTAACCCCAGACCCTGGTTCCCGACGCCACCATCACCTCCTCTAACTTTGCTCAACGGCCACTTGAGCAAGGACGCTGACATCGCGGGCTAGTTTAGCTGCAGGAACAGAAAGATGCAGTTTGCTGTATGACACTGCGGTGATGCCTTCAATTGGACGCCACCACGTAATTGCTGGCTGCTCATTTCCGTTCAGTGTGGCAGCTGAAATGTTGCATCTCCGAGGAGGAGTAGCACAGGGCCCAATATCACAGCCTTACGTTGTGTGCCGTGTACTTAAGCATGGGATTTCCGAGAGAAAGTAGAAGGGCGATGCTGGGCCATCTCGGACATCAAGCAGCTCAACGTTCACCAGCAACCCTTCACTCTCGTTTCAACACACTCGCTTTCATAACCAACATGTTCCAGCTCAAGAAACTTCTTGTTCTGGCTCTCCCAGCCTTGGCTCTCGCCGAAGAGGCCTTCTCTCCTCTCAAGCGCCAGATTGTAGAGATCCCGTGCAGCGAGTCTGGCCGGAAAGACTGCGGCGATGGCTGCATTCCCTTGACCTACACTTGCTGCCCAGACCAGCAGGGCGGTTGCCCCTTGACGTCCACGTGCTGGCTCGGTAACAACGGCCAGTATGCGTGCTGCCCGATCGGCAAGCAATGTGTCGGCCCGGGCGGTGTCAACACGGAACCCGGCTCGACGGTGACGTCTACCCTCTTCTTCACGGAGTCGATTCCGGACGAGAAGACTTCCACGTCCTTCTTCGCGTCGACCTCTACCGCGACTTTCACCCTCACTTCCGAAATCGGGAGCACCTCAGCAGAGACTTCTCTTGTGCCTAAACCGACCACTCCTCTTCCGGCACCTCCGGTTGTTTCCAACACGCCGACGACGACTGCTACACTGCCGACGATCACCGCGAATAGTACCACGGCCCGGTCGCCCCCGGTCACGGTGAACGCAGCGAACACCCACGGTGGCTCGATCCTTCAGGCAATGGCTGCTGGTGCCGTAGCCTTGCTTGCTCTTTGAAACTTGTGTATACCGAGATGAAAATGTGTTCGATGTTCAGATCAACGGAAATGCTGTTGTCGAGGTGTAATAGTTGTCTGAAGAAAAGGGCGGGCGAATGTGGGTAAAGAAAGAGAGAGGATCGATAGCTTTTGCAACCAAAACGTAATGGAAATGAAAATTGTCAGGTTGGACCTCGTCTCCCCAACTTTCCGTACCACCAAGGGATCCGCCACCATTATGGTTTGGCCGAGATGAGTCTCGAGCTTGCCTTCAGAATCCGGGGCTCCGGACCCAGACTTGCAAAGTGGCGTGCTTTCTCGTGGGGGACGTGTGATTAAAGGGCGCGCACAAGGCGTAACGGACATGTGGAAGCCTGGACGGGGTTCGCCCCGTCGTTATCGTGTGTGTGATGCAGATTTGACACCGGGACTAAAGCGTTTGAGTCAAACATGCTCATAGAGATATTTCGTATCTCTGAGCGGCCAAGAACGACGATGTTGAGCCACCGCGTAGCTAGCAAAACTTATAAGTCGGGATCGGGATCGGGATGGGTCGCCGACTAAGCACTAGTCAAAGGAGCTGGCGTCGGATCAGTTTTCCGTTTCTCTTGGCCGGCGAGCTGGATGCGGGGGAAAGGGCAACTTTGAACCTCCACCGGTCCGCATCAAGGGTACCAAACAACGGGGACAGGTAGACTTGGAGATGGACGGTCTCAATTACCCTTTCCAGCTCCCCGGTCAAGGCTGATAAGCTTTGTAGGTCCCTTCTGAAGAAATGACAAAGTTGAATCATGTTCGCGAACGCCGACAGCATGTTTCTTGCAGTAGGATTCGTCTCGTATCGACCGGGGCGGCACAGAAGTCAGCCTTCCGGGGACATTGTCTTCAAACTCGGGCTTATGAAAAGTGGGCGTCTCAATTATTGCGTGCTGGTCAGGCGATCCTTATCGAAGGCGCGGTTCGGCACAAGGGACTTAGACGCGATGTCTCCGTACTACTACTTTGCGGTTCAGGTATTTGGTGAAGGTCAACATCGGTGTTTAGAAATGTCGTTCGGAGCAAGTTTCCCAACATCCAATCAGACATCTGACAGGCTTCCCCAGGACCGAGAGGCCAGGTCGAGGATGGTGACACACTGCAACTAGGAATTTGCGCGATTTGATGGGAATTGCCGAGTGCTTGTGCTGCCCAACTTCAAGGGACGCTGGAGAAAAAGATGAAAAGTTTACGTGATAGTTTGGTACGAGGGCGGGTACCATCGGTGTTTACCCCGTCGTGGAGTCACTGGAAGTGAAGGAATCTGAGATGCAGCCGCGCACAGACAACCACGTGATATGGGGCCTCTTGCCCAAGTACTCAAGTACCGGTAAGGTAGTCTTAGGTAAGCTGCGGCTTGGATGTTTGCAGTTGTTCCGGGAGGTACGTACTGCTGACTCCAATTCCCGTCTCTGCCTGAGCCTCCAATTTGGACCGCAGATTTTCTCGGTGACAACTGCAACCACTTTAACCACCCGTTTTCCTCACGTTCTCAGTCTGTCAGCAATTCATTTCCAGTAACAACATGTGCCATCCTCGGACGTTAGCCTCTTATCAATACGGTGTGCCCGAATGTGTGGCCGAGTGTGGATGTCGTGTGGATTGCCAAGTAGATAAGCCTTCCGTCCGAGTTTACCCCATGGGTTCGCCATGAAAACGTTACCACACAGAAACAGCTGATGGACTGCCAGGTTTCTGCTTTCGGTTTAGTTCTTCCCCATGACTGGATCTGCCCGCCTTCTGCACCAGTCAGTGCCGAGAAGCCCTTTTGCGCCTTTCGCCTCCAAACAACATCCAACAAGGGTTCAGTTGCAGCTCGCGCGCCTGGGCATACACGCAGATACCGCAGAGTCAGTCAGTTTGTCGAATACCTAGTACCGTACCCACGCCGCAGAGGAGCACAGCGTACCATCAATACGTCACGTCGGCATTCCACAAGGGTTGATTCATCAGCGCGGGAGCGCGGCGGGCAGAAACAATGGGTTGGACTATCCGTACGCTCGCAGAAACCAACGGAGGCAGCTTCCGTTGCTTGGTCAAGCATGGGGCCTATGTACAAGTGTAGTGTAAGCTGCCCGTCTCACGACAGACGGGAATCTTTCGCCATGCTGCCCATCGCCCAGACTCCATAATACTGCAGCCATTCCCCCTCAGCCAGAAGCTTGGCCCTTTGTTCGCGTCGTTCTACTCTTCGCGTTCTAGAATCATTCCGTGGTTGCGCCGGGGACGCCCACCGACAAGCCTTGCCTGCGACCAGAGAAAAAAAAAGTTGCCGTACTAATATACCATTGCTACCCGCCCGCCCACATCGCAAACTCTCTCCCCTTCGACTGTTCTTCTTCTTTTTCTTTTCTTCGCCCAAACCAGAGTCGAGGTCAGTTGATTACAACTACGATTCGACAATGGAGTCTGCGGACAAAGATTACAGAGGCGGCGGTCCCTTGACCGACGTCGAGTCCAAGCACAACGGGGAATCCTACCCTCGCGACGTCAACTTCGCCGCACTCAACGACCCCAATGATCTGGTCAATTCGCACGACCAGCTGTCGCGTGGCTTGAAGAGCCGACACATTCAGTTCCTAGCATTGGGTGGCGCGTATGTTTTCCGCCGTTTCTGCATGCCCTTAATTGGGTTCAAGTAATCGCAAACTGACTGGTACTTACAGCATCGGAACCGGTCTCTTCGTCGGCTCAGGCAGTATCCTCTCAGCAGTTGGCCCCGCGCCGCTGTTCATGGGATACCTCTCCATGATGATTGTCGTGTGGAACATCATGAACAATCTCGGAGAGATGGCCACCTACCTCCCGCTCAAGGGTATCTCGATCCCCTACTTTGTCGAACGCTTCGTCGAGCCCAGTTTGGCTTTCGCCGCCGGTTGGAACTACTGGTACGCATACGCCATGCTCGTCGGCGCTGAGGCCTCGGCCGGCGCAATCCTCCTCGACTATTGGAAAACACCCGTACCCTCGGCCGTCTGGATCACAATCATCCTGCTCGTCACCCTCGCTCTCAACATTTTTGCTGTCGAAATCTTTGGTGAGGCTGAGTTCTGGTTTGCGAGTATCAAGCTCATCACCATCTTGGGTCTTATCATGGTGAGCTTCGTCATCATCCTCGGCGGTGCCCCCGACGAAGGTCGCATTGGCTTCCTTTACTGGTACGACCCTGGCGCAATTACACCATACCTCGTCGGCGGAAACACTGGCAAGTTCTTGGCCTACTGGACTGGTTTCGTCCGTGCCGGTTTCGCCTTCATCACTTCCCCCGAGCTGATCGCACTCGCGGCCGGCGAGACCGTTGCCCCCCGTCGCAACATCCCCAAGGCCGCTCGCCGTTTCGTCTGGCGTCTGGCTATCTTCTACGGCCTCGGCTCCCTCATGATTGGCGCCATCACCCCTTCGAACGACGAGAGACTCCTCAGTCCTGCCTCCAACGCTGCTGCTTCTCCTTGGGTTATCGGAATTCAGCGTGCTGGCATCGGTGGTCTGAACCACGTCATCAACGCCGCCATTCTCACCAGTGCGTGGAGTGCAGGCAACGCCTTCTTGTACTCCGGCAGCCGTATCCTCTACAGCTTGGCCCTAAACAAGCAGGCCCCTCGCTTCTTCGCCCGTACGACCAAGCGTGGTGTCCCCTACACCGCCGTCCTCGGCACCTGGTCAATTGCTCTGCTCTCCTACCTCACCGTCAGCAGCGGAACCTCTACCGTCTTCACCTGGTTCATGAACATTAGCACCATTTCCGGCTTTATCGCATGGATTGTCGTCATGATCACCTACCTCCGCTTCCGCAAGGCTATGATCTACCACAACATGATGCACCGTCTGCCCTTCAAGACGCCCCTCCAGCCTTATTTTACCTGGTTTATCCTCGGTCTCCTCATCATCCTGACCCTTACCAACGGCTTCCAGGTCTTCTTCCCTGACCACTGGAGCGTCTCGGACTTCCTGGCTGCCTACATTACGCTGCCCATCTTTTTCGTGCTGTACGTTGGACACAAGATCTGGTTCCGTACGCCGATAGCGCGCAACGTGGCCGACGTAGATGTCTTGACCGGCGTTGCCGAGATGGAAGCCATGGCGGAGCTCGACGAGGAGCCGATCCCGAAGAACCTGTTGCAGAAGGTTTGGTTCTGGCTTGCTTAGATTTGTGGAAGGCACAGAAAAGCATTTAGCTCAGCAAATGGTTTAAAAGTTTCAGATACCAGACAGAATAAATATTCATCGTACAAACCTTGTCATTGTCCAGATCCCTTAGTGTAGTGTGAAATTATGTCCCGTCCGCTCTCGCAAGTCCCTTCAAGATCCGCCGCCACCGCCACCATCGCCATTAGCAAAGACGTTGCGCGATGTACCTAGAATCACCCATGTCAGCACGGACATGAAGAAGCTGACCAGCATGTCACGCCACTCACCTGCTCTCCTCACCGTAGTCTCAATAATGCGCCCCTCCTCGTGGACATGATACGACTTCCCCTCATGACTCGGCAGAGCCTCAACCGCCTTCACGACAGGAGGCTTCAACATCATCTTAAACTTGCTCAACGCACTCATCGTGTCAGCAGGCGCCTTGGCTTTGGGTATTTCCTTTACGACGCGCGTGGAGACGTAGTGGTAGTTATCGGAGCGGGCAGGCTGGGGTTCGGTGCCGCGGAGGGGGTGGTCGGAGGGGTCTTCGGCGTTGCGGATGAGAGGGTGGAGAGAGTTGGTGTCGGAGGCGACGAGGGTTTCTTGGCTGAAGACGGATGGGGTGTAGCTCTTGGTCTCGGGTTGAGATCCTTGGGTGCTGGCCATGGTTGTGAAGAGTCGCTATGAGCGGATATCGTTAGCTAGAACCTTTGGTATTGAGAGTAGTGAATTGTCGCAAACCTCGCAGAATGTTTCGAGTACGCTGACTTCGCGCCTGGTTATGTACCTAAATGTCGATGCCGCGGCTACGGCTGGTCAAGTTAACCTACTTCATCCAAGAAAAAGCTGCATATACTACGGCCAGAATCTGCTGACGCTCGCTTCCGGCAACTGGCACGAAACTCCGGCGCTCTATGTGCGGTGACGGATGCCCTGATCGAACGAAGGATTCTAGCCAAGCTTGTTGCCCTATCGTGCAGCTGTGCTAGAGCAGCCAAGCCGCAGTATTTCACTTGCTGGTCGGGCGTCTTCGTAGACAGGCTTCGGCGGGATTGGTGCGGCACAGCAGTCGATGGTAAGTCAGGTGCTAGTCAGCCAGGTGATGTTCTCGTATCAACTTTCATACGATTATGCCGCATGGTGATAGTCGAGCCCTTATGAATGCCAATTGAATATTATGGTCGAGTTGAACAGGGATTTAAAGTAGTTTCCGCGATTCTCAATACCTTAAAGACTACGTCACTGCGTCGAGTGGGCAGGCACCTTCTCGGGCTGTAGAGCACCTGCTTCATTCGTTCAGTCAAGATATACAGCTTGCCAAAAACGCAGCATATTCTTCTCTGGTAATTAGAGGCAAGCAACATAGGAACTGTAGTGCAAAACATCATACGATCGAGTAGAGTCGAAGCAACACTTGAAGAAGCCCCGTCAACTTCATAAATCAACTAGCCAAAATTATAGAATTACTTTTTGAAAATGTAATCAAGGCACGATCCCAGTAAAGTACCGCTGTTAAAGCACATCGCCAGCTCTGCTGAGGGGGACGTCGCATTGCGCTGTCCGAGAATGATAGTCCGCTGTGTTTCGATTGGCTGAACATCTGCAGAATCCTTGCTCAAACTCAGCAGCCAGTCCGCAAACAGTCAAGTAAAACTTGAAAAGTAAACTTGAGAATGACAGTTGTAACTTTTAGAAAAAACTTTAATGTAATTCTCCATTGCAGAAAGGTCTGACCCCTGTTATTCCTTTCAAAATACACCATGTACTCTTCGTTAGGACACATAGCGACGGAGTTCCGGTGTGTCCGTCTGTGAGGTATAAAGGCGCCATCATCCGCACAGCTCGTCCTAAGCTAATCCTCCATCCCATCGCAACACCCAGTCACATAGCAGCTAACATATACTGATCATCACTTAAGAAAGAGTTGACTAAGCATTGACTTGGGCGTCCCATGATATGCACGACTAATTCCCTTAAGTTGAGAAACACTCGCTAATCTGTCACCCAAATATCATCTTCCAGCAGAATACCAGAGAATCATTGACCAGGCGTTCGGCCCTATCGGTCACATAAACAGCAGAGGACCGTGAAATAAGAGCGTCTCCCAATCATGCCCTCCTAGACATACTCTCATAAATAAATGCCATAAGGACACTTCATAAACATATGTCATGAACAAAAGCCTGGAAGGCACACGCCGACCACATAAGCAGCTAGATTGTACCGTTGCTGCATCAAAAGAGAGCCAGGTGCGAATCACACACAGTATCTAAGCATCTGGACGACAGATTGATCTCGTTCCAATATACATAACGCCTTTACACATTGCTATCCGACCGAATTTTCTAAGCTGCAAAGAGGTCCTCCATGCCAAATAACAGATTGAAGATCACCTTCAGAGGGCTTGAAATCGATCTCTCGCCTCATCAGGCCTACATAGGTACCTGATCAGGAGGTAGAGCACCAAGTAATTGTTCATCTCCATTCAAGACCTCTCGTACGTGTGTGAACCAGTCGCCAAATACCCCTAGTAAGCTGCCCGCCCTCGATCGTCACCAACAAGCCACCACACGCTCTTGAGCAGACAAGTCGGTGAACACCAGCACTCGGGTCTCTTCACGCCTCCTGGAAGACCAGACGTGCCACACCCTCCACTGGAATCTGCCTGATTCCATTCCCTCGGATTATCCCTCCAACCGCCTTGCCATCTGCCTTGGTCGGCAGAAACGACCGCCCCGTTTCTGCCTAAATCGTTGGGGTTTTGTTTCGAAACTACTGGTCGGACTCGGCCCCACTTTGCGGCACCGGGGCCGAACATTCACACCTCCCGGGCCCGGCTTGTGTCAACCATCACCTCCGGCTGCACCAGTCGAGAGCTCTCGCCTCCTCACAACTTGGTAGATAGATGCCTCGATACCTGGCCTCAAATCCGGCCCTTTCTCAGCAATCTCCACCCTATACCAACTTCTCTTCTTCTTCCCTTTCTTCAACTTCTTTTTTCTTTCTTCTCTCTGCCAACCACATCACAAGCTCCATCCAACTACGACAGCTTTCTCTTCTCACCAACGACAGCTTGCTTTCTTCGACAAGGAAAGCATTCAGCCCCAAACACCAAAGACAACCCCCCTTCCGTAAGTTCGTCTTCCTGTTTTCTGTTTTCTTCTGTTTTTTCATGATGTTCCCCTTCGTCACCTCTTCCTTTACGATCTTTGCCTTGGTCGTTTTCATTCTTTTCCTTATCCTTCGTTACTTGTCCCTTCATACCATTTGCCTTTGTCGTTTTTATTGTTTTCCCTGTCCTTCGTTATTTGTCGCTTTATGATCTTTACCTTGGTCGTTTTCATTATTTCCCTACTTTTCCTTATCATCTTTTGTTACCTCTGTTTCCATGATCTTTGCCTTTGTTATTTTTACTAGTTCCCTTATTCCCCTGGTTATTTTTCGTTACCTTTGTTTCTATGATCTTTGCCTTTGTTATTTCTATTGTTTTTTCTATTTTTTATTATTACTATAACTCGTTACCTCCCCTTCTATGTTCTTTACCTTTATTATTTCTATTATTTTCTCTATTCTTTATTATTATTACAACTCGTCACCTCCCCTTCTATATTCTTTACCTTTGTTATTTCTATTGTTTTCTCTATTCTTCATCATTACTACAACTCGTCACCTCCCCTTCCATGTTCTTTGCCTTTGTTGTTTCTATTGTTTTCTCTATTCTTCATCATCACTGCAACTCGTCATGCGTTCGCTCTCGCTCGCTCGTATTCGTCCATGATACTTACTATGGGAAACAGGGAATAGAAACATGAGCCTTTCTTTAGGTGCTGGTGGCAATGGTGGCCTCGGAGGTGGAGGTGGGGGGGTAGGCTCAGGCCTGCCTCCTACACCTTCCGGCTACGGAGACGTAGCCGCCTTTATCAGGACCTTCGAGGGGAAGGTCGCTAGCCTTCTCTCACTGGCCGCGAGGTCAGTGAGCACCATTGCTACTGTTGAGGTGGCCGATGCTCGGAGGGTTGTGGCCCTTTTTATACGATGGCTGAGTGAGGTTTGGTCGCGCTTCCCCTCCCAGGTGCCGCGGGAGATCTTGATGGCAAGATTCGCCATCAAGAGGAAGCTCGAGATCATCATGAAGACGCCGTCAGAGGGTCTCCAGGAGAAGAGACATCGCTTCTTTCTGGGGCCAGAGAAAAACAGCGCCCGAGACCTTGTCCAATGGCTCAACGCCCTGTCCGACCGGCCTCTAGAGCCCCCTCGACCGGCTTTGCCCACCCTCGCGCCTACCCCAGCTCCGACTTCGTCGACCGCCGCCAGATCAACCAGGCCCAACTCTTCGACAAACAGGTCGGCGGATGGTGTCAAGCCTGTTCCCCGCGACCATCCCATCTGGGGTGTCTTGGGCATCATGCATGGACTCGGCCTGCGACCAGGAAGCAAGACGCAAGCATTCAATCCTGCCTACGATGAACACAAACGGTCAGCCAAAGTTCTCGGACACAATGGCTTGGCAATTGGACAGTGGTTTCCGAATCAGTTGTCTGCGATGTGGTACGGCGGACATGGCGAGTCCAACGCGGGCATCTCGTACATGAGAGGGCCAAATGGCGAACCGGGCCCTGCCCTTTCCATCATCATGGCAGAGAAGTACAGTGATATCGACGTCGACCGTGGTGACGATATTGTCTACTGCGGAAGCAACTCACTTGATAACACATCGAGAAACACTCCCGTCGGACCGCCCGTTCGGGGCAATGCAGCTCTCTTGGTTTCCAAGGAACGCCAGTCTCCTGTCCGTGTCTTTCGCAAGGCGAAGAAGGGCAATAACGGCTCCGCTTACGCGCCTAAAGTCGGACTGCGCTACGATGGCCTCTATGTTGTTGTCGGTTACAGCAAGGCCACAAACGACAAAGGCGGCATCTACCACAAGTTCACCCTGAGACGCGGAGATGGCCAGCCTTCTCTTGATACTCTCAGAAACATACCCAGCAGAAAGGAGCGGAGAGATTATGCAAAGATCGACGAAGGCTACTAGTTCCGACAACTCTTTCGACTGAACTGCTTCATTCCTACGAGCAGGGCGACACAGTCTACTGGTCAAGAGAACCTTACTCTAGGTGGAAGGAAGCTGTATGGGCATCGGGTTTTCTTTTCTTTTTCTTTTTCTTTTTCTTTTCGGGGCCGAGGGGGCCATATTGGTTCTAGCAGCATGATCAGGCATGATCATCAGGCAATCGTTTCCATTGAAGGATCGTCGCCAATCATCATTTCACTTTCTGGGCCTGGGGTAGGCTACCGTGGATGGTATCGGCAAGATCAACAGGATTACTTTTCCATTGAAGGATCGTTTCTAGCTGCATTTTGGGCGTTTACAAGGGTCTTCAAAAATTCAGAGTCTGTGGGTGGTGGAGGTAATATCGGAGGAGAGCTAGGGGACTTCACCACAGACAGTCGTATCAGACACATCAAATTTGCGATCAACCAAGCTTGACTTCCATTTCGTGATGTTCATGAACAGTGAAACTTGCGATATCTGCAGAATTTGTGGAATTCATAGGAGCCGTGTTTGCCATCTATCAATGCTCCGGAACGCCGTCACAAAGAGCTGCCCCTGTTGTAAAACCACAGCCTCGCATCTTCAATGCCCAACGCGCTGACCAAGAGTATCTTTCCAAACGCGTCAATATCATCAGCAGCAGCATCCCTCAAGGCTTCCTCAAAGCCCTGCTTTGTAATCACAAGGTGCTGCTTCTCCTTCCAAGCAACAGCAAAGTCAACTACGGTAGGCGCCTTCCAAAGATGAGCGGACATGGTCCACGACTGACAAAACACGTATCGTTCCTCACATCCATTGGTAAGCGTGCCGACCAGAGCACTATAGGCAACAAGGAAGAAACAGGTGAAGAATATGGTACGTCGAGCTGACTCTTGGAAGATCCATTCCTGCCAAAAGTCCTTGGTCGGGCATGCGGTGTAGTCTTGGGCCGGGCCAGTGGCAGGCTGTTCCGGTTCCCACTTCACAAACGGCAGTAGGGCGAGTATGGTGTGTTCTAGAGAGGATAAGGTGTGTTGAGCGGAGGCCCGCATGGAGATGTCGCCGTCGAACAGGCGGATTATTTGGTAGAGGAGAATGGCGTGGAAGCGAGCTAGAATGTCGAGGCGGTTCTTGGGCATTGGCGAGGCGAGCAGCTCGTGAGCTCTGGCTTGGATGGTACGTAGGACGAAGGATGAGTTGATTTTGTTCTTGGCTATGTAAAGAGCGCAGCAGGCTTGAGCATCTGGTGAATGTACAGTCAGATTCTTCCCATGGATAGTGGACTTGGGCGAGGGCGACATGAGCTACTTACCTTGCATGTCTCGGGGCATGTGGGCTCGATACAAACAGGGATGGCTCCACGGAGCTTGGTTCTCCATCACCACCGTGGTCGGAACCTTTTCAATTTCATCAAGGGCATACTGAAGACGGTTGGCTATCACACTCTCAAGTGAGCCTGGGGCAGAGTCGTAAGATGGGACAAGCATATCGTCTGGCTTGGGCGTGAGGGAAGGAGCGATCAAGGCCCCTTCGAGGAAGGCTTCACTGGTGATGAGTTCGTCAAAGGCCAGATCAAAATTGACATCTTCCAAGTCTCCCATGTCTAAAGGTAAAAGATCCGGATTCTGGGACCAAGGAGTGAGGGAAGCGCTGGAGCCAGCGTTGTCGTCGAGGAGGGGAACGGGACTTGGAGCTGCACTGCTTTGATGATGCTGTCGCCGAGGCTTCGGGGCTCGCACAATGAGATCGCGATTGCTCGCCTTTGATCTGATCGGTATTGGCGGAGCGGAGTAGTCGCAGGCGATATTCCGCCTCGAGCACCGCAAGCATGCGGGTTGGCCGTGGTCGCATCTGCGCTTGGCTTTGGTGCAGGCTGTACATGTTTTCCGCCGTGGCGGCGGGTTGGCCCGCTCAAAGAATGAGTTTGACATGTTGGCCGATGCCCGCGTCGATTTTTCCCGTTGATGAGTGAAGGAACACTTGATAATACGACTGTCAAATTGAAAACAATTGATGGCTTCACACTCCTCGAGGAAGCTTCGCAACTAAATTGAATGAGTGTCAAAGTAGTGAAGATGAGCGCTGGAATCTCACTCAGACGCTGTCAGCGCTGCTCAGTTTGAGCTTACTTAATCTGGCGGGATTCCGCCAACATTTCCCACCTCATCCTTCATCCTTCATCTCCTTTGTCTGCGTCTTTATTTGCAAGAAACACCAAAGTACTTATCGTTCCGACCAATCAGCCATGTATAATGTGCGATCAATACCATCAAGCGAAGCTGGCGGCGTCCCGTCGTCGGTCGCGCATCGCTGAAGGATTCCTGCGATGAGACCTTCAACGAATTGATGGCATCAATCATGGATTCTCACCACCCGGCATGACCGCTATCATATTGTGAGTATATAAAGCGCCGAGAGAACTGTTCTGACCTGCTACAGATCAAGCAGTCTCATCACAATATCTTCTTTCAATCGAATATCACCGCGTTTCTCCCCTCAAGTTTCACTTGAACTTATCAACCCAGCTTCGACATCACACACATACTGCAATGTCTCAACACACAATCTTCGTCAGCGGCGCAACAGGCACAGTCGGCGGTTCAGTCGCGCGAAACCTCCTCGCAGCCGTCATCGCAGTCCACGCCCTCGCCCGCAACCCAGACTCTCCCGCCGCCAAAGCCCTCTCCTCCCTCGGCGTCTCCCTCACCCCAGGAGGCTATGACGACGAAGGTGCCCTCGAGGAGGCGATGAAAGGCATCACAGGGGCCTTTTTGAACCTGATGCCCGACTTCGTCGACCACACCTGGGAACTCAAGACGGCGAAGCGCATCATGGCCGCTGCCAAGGCGGCAGGCGCCACGCACTTCATCTACAGCAGCAGCTTCTCGGTAGATGCTCCCCAGAAGCTCAAGTACTGGGATCCCGAAAGCTTCACTGCTATGGTCCTTCTCTCGAAGCAGGCTATTGAGAACGAGGTCCGGAAAGCGGGCTTCGAGCACTGGACGATCCTACGACCCGGGAACTTTACGGCGAACTACATCCTCCCGATCGTTGCCGTGTACCCGGATCTTGCCAAGAAAGGGCGCTTCGTAACAGCTCTGACGCCCGAGACGAAGTTGCCGACGGTGGACCCGAACGATATCGGACAGTTTGCGTTGGCGGCGTACCGGGATCCTGTCAAGTTCAACACTCAGGAGATCTCACTTGCGTCGGAGCTCCTCACCGCAGATGATATCATGGGGAAACTTGCGAGGTTTACGGGGAAGGACATCAAGGCTGTCTATCTCTCTGATGAGGAGGTTGAGGCGCAGAAAGGAGGGAACCCGTTCTTGGCTGGACAGCTGGCTATGCGTGACATGGATCAGTTTGCTGATATTGAGGGGACAAGAAGCTGGGGAGTTGCCTTGGGGACCTTTGACGAATATCTGGAGCGGGAGAAAGAGAGGGTCAGCGAGACCTATGGACATCTTGCATAGATTTTTGTAGGGTGGTTTTCTCACAGGCTGCAAACGAGAGGAACGAGGACAACATACCAGAACCACGAGTCGATAGGATATATCAGACATCATCCAATATTAAACCCCCAAGCCTCGCCATGCCTCTCCCTCCCCCATCTCGCCATACCCTCCCCCAACCCCTGCGTCACCCCAGCATCATATCTCATCCCGCTGTCCGCCCACGCAACCCTTCCCGTCCTCCACGTAACCCACTCCTCCGCCAAACACCCCTCAGGCGCCCTCAAAATCCCAGCAGCGACATTGACCAACCTCTCTCCATTCGCCTGCTTCCTACCATCCACCCCAAAATACGCCATCACACTCGCGCCACACGTCCCGCAGAACGACCGCCGCACGTTCTCAGACGACTTGAACGTCTTGGCCGTCCCACCGAGCTGGAGGCCCTCGGGCACAGAGGGGGTGATGCAGCTCTCGGGGATACAGACCCATGCTATAGCGTGGACGCCCGTTTGAAGACGGCAGTCGTCGCAGGCGTCTACGCAGGCCGGCCACTTTCGCGAGTCTACGGGCGAGAGCCATGCTTCGTAGGCTTTATCCTCGAGCATGGAGGCCTTGGGGCGGGAGATTGTAAAGGAGACGCCGCCGCAGTGGCATTGTGCGCGGAGGACCTCTTCGCCGTCTACGCCGACTTCTCGCCCGTGTCTCGTTGTAGGCGTCGCGGCTTCAGATTCGTCCTTCTTGGGATTCCAAACGTTCATCTCTTTGCCGTTCACGCGAGGGAGCCATTCATAGAATCCCCCGCCCGGCGCGGAGGCCGTGTTGACGTGAGACCGGATATCCCAGACGGCGGGTACATCATCCTGATTCGCGTCAAAGATGGACGCCGAGATAACCCAGTCGTCGTCGTCGACGCCCACGTCTCCGATGTGGCAGCTACATGTGCTGCAAAAGTACCGCGTGCTCGAGGCTGTCGCGTGTCGATAGGCCGTGAGAGAGGATGACAGCGAAGACGGGGCGATGAAGGAGGGGGATACGCCGGATGGGAGAGGCGCGTGGAAGATGCAGAGGGTTCCGTGAGTGTAGCGGCAGATGCTGCAGTGACAGAGGTGGACTTTGAGGGGGAGGGAGGAGGTGGGTAAAGTGAGGGTAAAGTGGACGGCTTTGCAGTAGCAACGGGCCGTGAGAGTCTTTGTTGTCGGGGCAGACCCGGTGGGTTGGGGATGGTCTTCACTCATTGCAATGTGAATTGTTCAAAGCCGCGTTTAGATTGAGGGGATATTCGATGAATTGCGTTGAAACATGATGAAGCAATGAGGTGCGGAGCTTGACTTGAGCTACCGGTCTCACTTCCTTTTTCAGCTGAGCGATAAGAATCAACTTGACATGACGCCGAAGGGCGTGGTGCAAGTCGAGTTAGCCTAGTATGCGGGGTTCAGCCGCCACGAGAGAACCACGCCTACAACGCCTTCAACATAAAGCCATGTGGCGTTGCGATGTCGGATGACTTTCTCATAATCATGTTTCATTACATATATAGCTAAAGGTAGATTCAAACAACTGTCTAAAAGGGTATCACTTGTGGCCGCGTTCATACTCATATTGTATCACAATCTTATGCTGTGCTCTTCTTGCTCTCCTTCTTGAGCACCTTGTCCTTTGCGTCCTGACGCCACTTCACGCCCCAGTACATGATGGCCAGCAATGCCGGACTGAAGACAATATAGAGAAGAGCCAGAAAAGTAAAGGCCCAGCCCACGCCCATCCCGTTAATCATGGGAATTATCGCTGCAGTCGCAGCCGCACCGAGCAGACACCTCGTAAAATTGTTCGCCGCCGTTGCAGTCCCGGCTTTCCCTGGGTGGATGTCGATGATGAGCGTATTGGTCGTGTTATTGAATCCAATCATGCCGACTCCGAAGAGAAAGAGCAGCACGCATGGCACAGCCACGGGCGCTCTAAGGTGTAGAGCCCAACCCCAGATGAGCAGCAGAATCGAGCTGAGATACAGCAGCGGAAGACCAACTTCGAGGCGGGCTTTCTCAATGGGGAACCCAGTCATGTCTTGCTGACGAGACTTATCGTAGGGAATTCCAAGGCGCTTGCAATGCCGGCGGTAGTTCCAGTTGATTAGAGGTCCTACAAGAAAGGCAGCCACGACTGAGCCGCCAGCCATGGGCAGGTACATGAGGCCGACCTTAAGACTGTCGAAACCGTAGATCTCCTGGAACTGAGTCGGCATGGAAGAGGCGATAGCGTAAAACCCAGCAAAGACAATGGCGCTGAAGCCGAGAAGTAGCCCAAGCTCTCTCTCGAAGAGTAGACGAAGTGACTCAAACGGGTTGATCTTGAACTTGAGACTTGGTTTGACAGTGTTTGATGCTCCTGTTGTTTGTCTAGTTACCGGCGCTCCATCTCCCTTCTTGGCTCTGTAATGGTCCTTGATAAGCTGGAAGCCGGTTCGGTAGAGCTTTGGCGGTCGCACGGAGCCATCATCCACAATCCTCCTGCAAGTCTCTGGGAAGAAGAGAAGAAGAACGATGAAGAAGACGCCGGCCAGAATGGCAAGAAACCAAAATATGGATCTCCATCCTAGATACTGTGCTAGAACACCACCGAGGACTGGCCCCAGTGCGGGCGCTAGAACAATGGGTATAACAGTAAGACCAACGTACTGTCCCCTCTCAGCCGAGGTGATGCTGTCTGCCACGACAGCTGAGGCCAGAGCAACGGTGCTGCTAGAGCCTGCAGACTGGATGCAGCGAATGACGAGCAAAGAAGCAAAGTTCTGCGAGAGCGCAAGGCCAATGTTGGCCGCGATGTAGACGACGAAGCAAATCACATATGCAGGGCGTCTGCCGCTCTGATCAGCCAGAGAACCGATGAACATAGGCACGATTCCCTGAAATATCATGTAAGTCGTCAGGGTAAGGTTCATGTCCGAGTCGGAGACGTTGAACTCGTGAGCGAGAACAGTCAGAGCGGGAAGGTAGATTTGCGCGGTGAAAGGCGAGAAGAAGGCAGCCAGAGCGGCTCCCAGCACGATGAGCCGCTTCTCCCATGTCGTATAAACTGTAAATGGTGGAGGCTGTTGTTCTTCTGGCGGTGTAGCTGCTTCCTCGTCCACTATTGTAGATTTGGTAGAGTCGACCGGTGGCGCTGACATGTCTGAAGACGTGGGACTCGTTGGTCGAGACATTGTTGGCGATGATGTTGGATCTCAGTCTTGGCCAACCTTGATACAGAGCCTGATGATGAGAAGTGCAGTAAGAGGAATGCCAGTCATTGGGGCAAATGTATTGATATATACATGTTATTGCCGAGATCAGGACTTATGATGAAAAAAGTCCGTCTGCGGCTAAGTGTTTGACTAGGCAGTCATTGGGGCACAATCGGGCATTTTGGGGGCTTTGGGGCCATTTGGGGGTATTTGGGGCGCAGATGTAATCGATCACCGCTCGTTCGGTGGAACTAATACGACATCGTTGTCAGAATGCATACTCGGTGCCGAGTCGGCGCGTGTCGAAGTGTGAGCGTCGGCTGGAGTTGCGACGGTATCAGGCTAGCGGACAATAAGACTTCGGTATCTCTCTGTCTTAGTCAATCTGTGCCCCGTGGGTCTTTTGCAGCCCAAGTAGAAAAAAGCGCAAGATCCCGGCGATAATCACATCACCGCGTGACTTATCCATCGCGGACCTCGACCGAAGCCCTCGAACGGAGTGCTGAGCGGGCCGCTCTCGGCAAAGGCATATAATCATGGTTGTCTCGTCTATTCGATGGTAGCAGAAGAAGAAAAGTTCAGCCATAAGAACGTGTCATGGTCATTGAAAAACAACATGATGTGATGAGTGCGATGGAATATCGAGGTGAAGTTGAAGGTTTAGAGTTACACTCGAACTTACACGGAACGCCAAGAGGGAGGAGGACGGAGCCAGGGAGGAAGGCACCTCCGGGATGGGGCGGACCGTCTTCGGGAAATTTCGACACTGTACGTACACACAGTACGTACAGCTCTGTCATCGATTGGGAAGGCGGTAACGTGTTTTCTTGGAGAAGCCACCTGGAGACTTGGAGGTACCCTTGTACTTTTGGGAGGGAGCTCCAGCATGAAGTGTCCAGAGCTCCGTCGGGCTTCAGGCAGTCCCTTACCTTAGACCTCAAGACCCTGCATTCACTCAAGAGCTGCTCTCGATATCTACCCTCTTAACCTCTCCTGTCCCGAGAACTACCCTACACATCTTCAGACTCGGTGCCCTGTCGCATATCAGCCCAAAATGGTCAGTCGCGGAGACTCCCTCCTAACCTTAAACCCCAGATGCGCCGTACTAACAAGCTGCAGAACGTCCAATACAACTCGGCCCTGCGCCAGAGCAAGGCCATCCGCAACGACCTCGAGAAGCTGTCCTCCTCAGCTGCGCAACCAGCTGCCTTGACCCCCGCCGAGATTGGCAATGTGTCTGCATCTCTCGCCTCTTTTTCCAAGACCGTCGACGAATACAACCAACTAGCTCGCCAGGAGCTCGTACCCAAGAAACAAGAAGAAGCCTACGAACGAGTGAAACGGTTCCGCGATGACCTCTCCGATTTCCGCTCTCAGGTCGACTCTCTCAAGAAGGCTCGCGAAGAAGCCGCCCACAACAATAATCGAGGCGAGCTGCTAGGCCGTCGAGCTTATGTCACAGCCACACCCGAAAACCCCTACGCCAACGTCAATAAGTCGTCTCAATTCCACAGCCGAGGGGCTTCGACAGGTCAGGCCGGCGGCGGTGGGCTGGGCATGGGCGGAAACGATGTCACAAGAGAACAACACGCCCTGCGAGAGCAGAACTTCTTTGCTAGCACCAACTCAGCCTTGGACGAATACATTGCTCGCGGGCAAGCCGTACTAGGCGATCTTGGAACGCAGCGCGAAATGCTCAAGAACACCCAAAAGAGGCTCTACTCTGTCGGTAACACGCTGGGCATCTCTGGCGACACCATTCGCATGATTGAGCGCCGCGCCAAGGAAGACAAGTGGATCTTTTGGGCCGGCGTCATCATCTTCTTCCTCTTCTGCTGGGCGTGCATACACTTTTTGCGGTAAACGCACATCACATTTAGAGTCGCACCGCCAGAGACGAGAAAACGACGCTGGGCAATAAGCAGGGCAAAAGGCATTGGGGAGTCGGCTGCAGTGTATGCGCCGTACAAACTTTTTGTCATCATGGAGCTCTCCCTGTACAACAAGCGACGGTCGACTTTTTCTTTTCGTTTGACCTCTTTCTTGGTTTATTCAGTGCCCACAAGAGCAATGGTGAAAAGCACCGTTTCGGTTGTCTCGATCTCGACCACCCTTGTCTCGGGCAGCACGTGGTTGCTGGTGCTCATGTGGCCCCCAAACTTGGTCTCCCAGTTCTCCACGTCCCATTCGAGGCCCTTGGTGGTGATGTAGCTGGTCCCGCCGATCGGGATGATGCCGACATGCTTGCCAAAGACATCCTCGCCGTCTTCGCGGACCCAGATGCTGTGGTGGCCGGGCTTGAGGAGGAAGGTCAGGCTCTGGCCGGAGACGAGGTACAGCTTGCCCTGGGCATAATCTGGGCCCGGCTGGAAGAGGTATAGATGGTGCACCTGGCTGAGACCCTGGTCAACGCGGCCACCTAGTCCACCGAGAGCGACGATGTCAGTCTCGGGGCCGTGGTTTGATCGAATCCATGAGACAGCCTTGGCGAAGTCTGTTGAGTACTGGTCGGGATCATGTATGACTTGGGCTGGCTTTTCTAGCGTTGTGTAGTAGGTCTTGACGGAGGGGAGGAGTGAGTCCAAGTCCCCGATGATAACGTCGAGGTTGTTCTGTATGAGTCAGACAGTGTCATCGTGATGACGAGAGATGCAGGCACTCACGTATGGAGGGCGGGATTGAGCCTCAGCTGCTTTGTTCAGATCGTGTAGCCTATTTGCTCCGCCATCTGCAGCAACTCGTGTGAGGGCTTCATGAAGAGTCAGCATGGGATCAGGTCAAACGAGTGCAAGAAGGTTGTACCATTTGCCCATAGTGAGTCAAAAACTGGCGTCTGCCTCACAGGTTGGTTGAGTACAATGAGAGAAAAGTCGACAGTGCTTGGTTGTTCTGGTTTCTTGTCGCGGAGGAGACCTATCGGCCGCCACTCGAAACTTGGCGACATACTGAAGACTGTCTCTTTGGTCTCTCTCTATCTCAGCACAAAACTACCTCAGTCAGAGGGTCAGATAGCCAGAAAGACAAGGATATCTCTAAATACAAGTGGCCCTCTCGAAAAGTGCAGACGTGTCAGACTTTGCCTTGATTGTCGCTCAAGTAGCAAAGTTGAAGACTAGAGAGAGGACAACAATACTGTATCACCAACTTGCATCAGGTACTTTATTCAAGGTTGAGTTGTCCATGATGCGTTTCTTACGCAGGCGTAGGCAGTCATCAGTGTCACCGGCCTAAAAAGGAATATCTCGCAGAAAGTGGTGCACGGCATCAGCAGCCAATGAAGCGTCGAATCCCTCAGATTTTAATTGGATTTTTTGGACCGTCCGATCGGCCGGACCTTGCAGGCTGCATCGGACGGGCGTGGCGGGCGTCGGCGGGCGTGACAGGCTTGGGCCAGCGCAATCGAGCGATAATGCGCCGCTAAAACTCCGGCAGAATCCGCCCATCGAAGCTTCAATTTTCTTTTCCATCCAGGATTACCAACCAGTAACGCTTGGAAAGCTCACAAGCTGTCCACGACCAAACCCGTGCCCTCCGCCCATCTCTCTAATTCCCCTTTGTCGTTTGTCTTTTGCAATTGCACCCGCATCCCTTTTCCCTTTGGTTCAGCTTTCCTACATACAATACATTCACACACACAATGTATCGCAGCGGCATGCGTTCGGCGCCCCGCGCCCTCAGCGCCGCCCGACAGTCGGCACTTCGCGCAGCTCCCAGACGATTCGCCTCAACAGCACCCGCCGACAAGCCCAGGACGTGGAAGGGTGCGGCAGTGAGATGGGGTCTTGCCGCTGGTGCCCTTTACTGGTACAACACAAGTCCAGTCTTTGCCGAGGAGCCCATCCGTATGTCGCCCGCGCCGATGAAGGAAGAGATGCTTAGAAGAACGTGATCGTTTCTAACTATGTGCTGCTCAACAGCCAAAACGATCGCCGCCCCGTCCCAATTCTCCGAGTCCGATCTTACGACCGTCGATGCCATTGTCGAAGAGAAGCGCAAGCGAGCCATCGTAAAGGCCGAGGAGGCCAAGCCCGCCGCCGCCGCCGCCCCCGTACCGACAGAAGCTAGCGAGCAGACCAAGGCTGCGCTCGAGGGTGAGGCCGCCGAGGGAAGCCCGGCACCCGCCCCCGGTTCTCCTGAGGCATTGGAGGCCGAGGCGGATCAGCAGGGTGCCTTCAACCCCGAGACGGGCGAGATCAACTGGGACTGCCCGTGCCTGGGCGGCATGGCTGACGGCCCCTGTGGAGAGGAATTCAAGGCTGCGTTTAGCTGCTTCGTCTACTCAAAGGAGGAGCCCAAGGGCATGGACTGCATTGAGAAGTTCCAGTACGTATTAGGGGGTGATGTGGAAACGAGATGTAGTGTGAGGAGTTCTAACTGGAATTTGCAGAGGAATGCAGACATGCTTCAGGAAATACCCCGAGGTCTACGGCGACGAGCTGGCCGATGACGAGGGCGCTGATGAAGCCGAAGCCGCCGCCGCCGCGCCTGCTCTCGACGCCAATGCCGATGCCGCGATTGCGCCGCCCACCAAGGCCGTTGAGGAGAAGAAGGAGGACAACAAGGATATCAAGAAGGAGACCAAGGAGACCAAGGCCGACACCCCGGAGAAGACCCCCAAGGCCGAGGTCAAGCCCGAGCCCAAGGCGGAGAAGACGAAGCCCGCGCCGGCCGAGAAGCAGGAGAAGCCCAAGGCCCCTGCGGCTCCCTCGTCTGAGCCTGTTGATCTTACCCAGCCCAACAACAAGGCCGTCGATGCGACTGCGGCGAACAACATCTAAGAACAAGAGAGTTTCTTGCTTTCTGTACCAATTTACACACAAATAGCTATCATCAGGATTGGAGAGTGAAAGGTGGGAGAGAAGGAGCGAACGCTTGACTGCGAAGTCGCAGCTGCAGGTTGCGGAGCGTACGGCGTGGCTAATGAAACCATGACGGGGGAAAATCAGGCGTATCTCATGTACCATAATCGTGTACACAGTGTACCAGTACGGAAGCAAAAGAAAAAGAACAATAGACATACACTTCTCTGAGGGACTCCCCAAGAATCTCGTTTATTTTCCTTTTGAGTATTGATCAGTATTATTCTTGATCATAGTTATAGTGGGAATAGCTTCAATTTGCCCAAGAATACAAAATATGACTCTCACGGTCCCCACGAGCATGAATAACATGGCCAGATGTACCTATTACCTATAACGACAGCACACCGACGGCTAAGGCACCTTACATACTACCTAAGGACCCATCCGAGGATGCCCCGGTGCACGACATTGTTCCTGGCCAACATTGTGACGGCAGGACCCGACTTTTTCCCCGGCAGGTGCAGAGGAACCATATACCCCCCACAGCGGAAATCTGTCAGGGTTGTGATTGGCCGGGCGATCAGGTTGTCCCAAGCTCCCGAGCCGCATACGTCATACGTCATTGGTCTCCAGGCCACTACGCGCCAACCAAGATCAAGGAAAGCGCTCGCGGGGGTGCGCCATCCCATCCCGTCAAACCACCTGACGGAACCATTCCCTCAAAATTCCCTCCCATCCTCAGGCTTCTCCCGACTTCCTCCTTTCCCTCATTTCACATGACTGCATCTTCTTAAAAGGAACTCCCACCCATTCATCTATCCCGCGCGTCATCCTGTCGATCTGCCACACACCTTTTTACACCTCGCACATCTTGCATCTCTCCCTCCCTCTTTGATACCCCCAATCGCCTCCTACACCTACCTTGCCTACATCAAAGCACAAAGCTTCTCTTCCAACCACAGCTCTCATCCCTCGCAAGTAAGTAAACAAAGTTGCGTCATACCGGAGACGTTGCGCATGCGATGCTAACAACACTACCCAGTGGCTTCCTACGCAGACATGGCCGCCAAGGGCCCCAAGCAGACTCCTGAGGAGGTACGTTCTTCTTTCTTCCATTTGATCGCGTGATCTCATTGAACCCTCACTCAACCGTCTACGTATCGTTGCTAACGTTCTCTCCCTCCAGGCTGCTGCTCCCCCTCCCCCCGAAATCTCCGTCGACTCCACCGCCTCTACCTCCTCCCTCGTCGATGTCGACATGCCGAGCGTACACACCGTCCCCCACGACTTCCTCGAGCAGGAGATCCAGACAGAAACCCAGGCCGACCGCGTCGACCGCGAAGAGAAGGCCCGCGCCGAGGCCGACCTCGCCAAGAAGAAGGCGGCCTCCAAGGCCCGTAAGGCCGACTCGTGGCTCAAGCGCCAGTTCTCCTCCCTCTCCGACGGCACCGCCAGCGCCCTCGTTGTCTCCAACCTCGTCGGTGTTGTCGGCCTCAGCGCCTTCCTCGGATACAAGGCATGGGGTCTCTACGAGCGCGGCCGTCTGTCGTGGCAGAGCGTCGGCCTGGGCTTGGGCATCCTTGGTGTCGTTGGTCTTGGAGAGGGTATCTTTGGAAGGTAAGCATTCACTTTTTCGTTCCCAGTGACTACGAGCTATGCGCATGGATACTGACTGTTTCTTCCCCATAGCTACCTGTACAAGACCAAGGGCAAGAAATAGACTGACAAGTGCGCCTCGGGGACGACGGCGGCTTTGAATTTCTTTTCTTCTTCTACTACCTAACCTAGCTTGGGAAACTACTCTTCTCTATTTGGCATGTTTGCACGGATGCTGGCTTGTTGGCGTGTAATGGCGTCTTTACGAACGAACGACGTCGGATAAACGGCTCTTGGCTGTAATGTATGTACTGGGCGTTCGGGGCGAATATGGAAATGCACACACACAATCTCCTCCAAAACACACTTGTTCTCTCTAAAGAAGTGCTCAAACAACTTTCTCCTGTTGGCTGACTGTAGATGACCTCACGACACCACACCGCGATTACAATATTCATAAGATTCCGAGTCTGGGGTATACCACACACACCAAATGGCAATATCAACAATAATATTGAATATACTAAGAAAGGAGACCGACCGTCCGTCCGCCCGGTCTGCTATTCCGCCTCCGGTTTAACCTCCACATAAGTTAGTTTCTGGTATGGTATGGTGGTGATCGTAGAAATCATACAGGGGAAAGAAAAAGAGAAAGACGAAGAAAACAAAGAGGAAGACGAAGAGGGAAAAAAAATAACAAAAGGTAGGTTTAGCCAAAGCTCAACATCAACCCCACCCCAAAGTCGCTATGCCGTTTGGTTGCTAACTCCTCCAACCCCGTTGTGAACCCTTCCCAGACCCGGACACCTTTGTAGCAAAACGCCCTTCGCAACCCAGTCTTCTGTTCAACCGTTTGAAGCCAACCTAAGCCTTGCCTTTAGCCGTTGCCCGCTTTGCTCACACGCACATACGCACACACACGCACACGATAAAGCCTTTCTTACATCGATCGATCGAAACGCCGCTCGTACTCGACCCCGAATCCTACACTTCCTCCTCTTGCGCCTGCTGCCCAAGACCACATGGCGACAGGGCATTACGTGTTGCGGCTGTTGTTGTGCAGCTCTCTCAGGCGCTTGACCCAGTGCTTGCGTAGCGCCGGCGACATCTTGCAAAAGATCATGGCCTTGTTGTCATCCGCGAGAGCCTTCTCCGCAATCTTAAGCTGGAGGTCCATGTCTTCGTCAGAGAAGTCGCGGAAGAAGATGTCAATCGCCTGCTCGGGCCACCGCGGTGGGCTCCGGCCGCGGAGAGCGTCGGCGATCTTGATCAGCCCGTCCTCCATCAGCTGCTTGCCGGCGGAGACCATGTTTGCCGTCGTGGCGTCGTTGCCGTGACTGTGGCTGTGGCTGTTTGATGCGCCTGGCCCCGATGCTTGCGCGGGATTCGTGTAGCCTGATACACGTCGGCGCTTCTCTGCCGGTTGCGCCGGTGGGCCCATGGGCGCCGTCGGCGCTTTGCCGCCAGTGTCGGATGTCGATACTTGCTGGGGAAATCTTTTGCGTCCTGTAGCAGTTTCCTCGGGGGGCGTCAAAGCGCTCGTGCCTGCGATATGCGTCCTAGGCGGAATCGCGGTGGAAGTGGGCCGTTGCTGTTGCTGCTGTGGTTGCTGGTGCTGTTGCTGCTGCTGCTGCTGTATTTGTTGTTGTTGTTGCTGCTGTGGCTGATGTTGCTGTTGGGGTATCATGGGCTGTTGGACTTGTGCTACGGGAGACTGGCTTACGGAGCCGCGAGGCTGTACTTGGTGGTTAATGCCCGTCTGTGAGGAGGTTCCGTAAGGCGGCTCAACCTGAAGATCGAGGACTGCGGTGCCCGGCATATCCGGGTCTTCGGATCCTTGAATCACATCGGGACCCTTTCGCTTCGGCTTCATGATACGTTTAGGAGCACCTCCAGAACCAACGACGTCAGGATACAGGATTTCCATGAACGATTCATGGTCGAATGGCCGACCACGCAACGCGCGCGATAACGGCTCTTTCTGCGGAGAAAGGGTCAGCGACAAAAGTCCGATACGACAATGATATATGAGGTATACGGGGGGGAAGATGGGCAGGTGGATTAGCGCGCGCGCGCGCACGTCTTCACCAACATACCTCGATATGCGCTTTCCAGGCCTCCTCGGACGCGGTGACGGTACGGGTGGTCGGGTTGTAGAGGAACTCGGGGTCCTCGCGAAGGCCGCGCCAGAGACGAAATTTCTTGCGCGCATTATCCGACTTGTTGACGAGATGGCTCTTTGTGGGATATGCGCCGTGCTTCTCGCGAAGAGCGGTGGCGGCGCGATCCCAGGCGTCGGCCTTGAAGGAGTGGTTCTCGCGCAAGCCTAGCTGGACCGAGTCGCAAAGGGATCGGAAGAAGGTGGCCTCGTAGGCGGGCGTCCAGCTGAAGCGCGGTGCACGCTTGTCGCGGTCTCCGCCGGCGCTGCCGGGTGGGCCATCCGGGCCGCCGAACTCGTCGTCTGACATTGAGTCCTTTTGTCGACGACGAGAGCAGACGGAACGGGGAGGTTAGAGGACGGAGAGCGAAGAGCGGAGGAGGAGGAGGGATGGTAGTGGCCGAGCAGGACGAAGGAGGATAAGGGTATCCCCCAAGCGTCGAAGCGTCGAAGGGGGGGGTAGGCAGACAGTTGGGGACAGATGGGCGGTGGTGGTGGTAGTGGTGGTGATGGTTAGTGGCGGCAATAAGGGTCGTTATGCGGCGGTAATGTCTTGGACCCCTACTTTTCGTATACGGAAGTCGCGATCCAATATGGGCCGGGTTCGGAGATGGAACGGGCAGCCAGGGCCGTGATGTTTGGATCTGACGGTGGCGAGGGGAGGGGAGCAGCAAAAAAAAAAAATTAGTACGGAGTAGACAGAGGGCGCGCGCAAAGGTCCTTGGATGAATGGATGGACGGATGGTTTGGGGGGCGTGTAGCGCAGCGGTACGGTGCGGTGCGGTGCGGGCGGGTTTGGTGGTAGGTAGGTTTGGTTTGGTTGGGTGAGAGTTGTCGGGTGGGCGTGTGACCAAGTGAGAGAGAGAGAGACCCAGCCGGAGGTTCGTCGAGTTTGCGTTGCACGGGAGTGGGAAGCGAACGAACGTTGGGTTGGGCGTGGGGAAGAACCAACTGTCTGGTGACTTTGGTCTCTGTCAGTCTCTGCCGTAGGCGTGGGCGGTGGGCTGGTTCCCCGTTCCAGGTTGTTACGTGCGTTGGGACGTGGGAGCAAGACTCTGGGAGAGTCTGGGACTCTAGGAAGCTAGGAAGCTAAGGTAGGAGAGAGCGAGTCGCGGAGCCTGGAGCGCGGTGGAGGGCGGGTATCCGTACGGGTCTGCGGCTGCGCTCACCTCTTTGCGGTAAATGCACGAGGCTGGCTGGCGGCTGGAGCTGAATCGTGAACGAACGAACCCGGCGAGATACAGAAACCATCCACAGACGCAGACGTAGACGGTAAGGTACTCCGTACTTTGTACGGATAATCAGAGCAACAGTTCAACGGAGAAAAGAGTTGAAGCGGGGCATTGATAGATAGTAAGTGACTTGGTTAGTTGGGAGCGAGTCGGGCGCAAAGTCACGTTCTCCTCTCGCAGACGGCAGCCGGGAGTGGTACGGTACGGTGCCTTTACCAATGGTGACAGCAGCCACGAGAGTCCCCCGGTATTGGACCGGACCAGACTCATCCCTTTGCACTAGTCTACTTCAAGACTAGCTGCTAGAGATTATGCTCAGAGGGGCCGGAGGGACGGAGTCGGGGTCCAGACAGTTCCAGACAGCCAGCCAGGTGCCCACGGGTGGTTCCTCTCCAAAGTGAACGCGGTTCCCGACTGCTTAGTCACGGCAGCACGTGGATGGTCATGATCTTCCGTTCCCGTGCCAGCCGGACTTTAGCCTCCACCTCAGCTTCTGCACGGACCATGTCAGATCACGTGGGGGCATGCGTCTTCCCAATCTGGCCCCCAGCTTAGCTTGCGCTTAGTCATTCTGCCCATCTTGGCGTAGCGTTGCTTTCCTCTCCTCCAGCCTTGTCTTTAAGGCAGAAAACTTGTTCTCTGGTCATCTTCCCCAGTTCAAACGGCAAGCCTCCACCACCGCCACGGCCATCATCCGGCTTGGCAGAAACACCAAGACTTCTTCGCAGGTGATCGATCCTCCAAACTTGTCTAATGGAGTCGCCGTGTCTGTTCTTTACGCAGTACATTTGTTTCCCCCCCTCCCAAAAGCTCTATTCAGACATACTTTGCGCTTTAACGTGGGCGGTCCTGCAAGCCCGTTTCTTCACTCCCTCCCACTTTATTTAGCCAGCATATGCAAGATCAAGCTTTCTTATGCCTACGCTCCCCTGACCAGTGTATCGAAATGGATCGCAATCCCCGAGATGGTCTGTAAAGTACCTTGAAATTAGATTTCCGACTCGTTGGTTCAGGCTTGTCCGACGCCTCAACCAAGGCTCTGACCTCATCGCGAGCGTGCCGTCATCACGTCAAATACCAACACATCTCAGAATCTTCATCATCATCTCCGCCTCACATGTTCCCCTCTTCTTCAGATAATGACCTCTAGATCCTCGGGCTGCAATGGGCGCACCCATCATTGCTACTGCGGTACTCCCGAACACGAAAGATGGTGTAAGCGGATGTGGTGGCCCCGGACATTAGCTAACAACCCGTGTGTACTGCGAGTTGCTGACTCTGGCTGACTCTGAACCACCCGACTCTGCCACCTCTATATACCGGTGATTACACCACCCTCAAAGTTACTCACCTTGCCAAGTCGCCAAGGACGGTGTCCGAGTCGCCCCTCTCGTAGACTTTTCGACGTTTGATGGCAGCAATCAATGCAGAGATTGCCAATTGAGCCGTACGCATTCAGACCGGGCAATTTACTCTCGCAACCACCGCACTGCACGCCCATGTTCATTAACTATCGTCAAACCATCTTTACGCCGAGCCTAAACCCGAGCAAAAAAGGCAACCTTTTCTAGTTCAACGTATCTACGGAGACTACATTTGTCCAACCGGTCTTTAGGTTGGCTTTTAGAGTTGCTTCCTCCGACATGACAACTTTCTTCCATGTCTCCCGTGGCCCTGCGCCGGTTCAGATGATGGGCATTAGGGGGCAGTCCACTCTCGACTCACGGCAGCAGACCGATTATAGTTGATCTCATCTTTGTAGTGGCCGCAGGGCAGGGTCCCGTTTTCTCGCAAATTGAACGGCCTAGCTTCGAGCCCAAGTTCAAGTTTGCCTGTCTTGCCCTATGGTCGTCATGCCACTTCCACAAGTTGTGCACACTCAGCGCATAGCAAATGTCTTTATAGGATGGATGCACATGATATGCTACCGGGATGGATAGATCCCATCTCTCCAGAGCTTTCTCTCGCCTCTTCACACTTCGGTCTCGGGGTCCATCTGGTAAGGTCCCTGAGGAATACGATGCGGTGATCTGCCTGGCTGCAACGTCGAATATTCGAGGCGAAGTGCGTCAGCCGTCGTCGCAAAACATGAAGTGGAAACGGATCTACGGGTATGACTTGATGCTCAGCGCCAGCAAGGCCGTCACATTCGTTTCTCTACGGGACAAACAGTATTGCAAATCGTGCAACGAGGCCTCATGTTCTGCGACACCGACACCTCGCCTTTTCAGGAGCCACTAAGGTCGACTTACTCTCTCATAAGGCCTCCCAGCTCAAGCCATGTCCTTGCTGCCCTTTGGGATGGTGTGGTGGTGGTGGTGGAAGATGGATGGATGGATGGACGTCGACATTGAGAGCTCTCACCGGCTCGCCGCCACACTAACAATAACATGCCAAATGATACGCTGCGAGTACTTACACCTGCTGCTGCACATCCGAAGTAGCATACCCGTACCTTGCAACCTTGCGTCAAGCGCTACACTACTTGACGCTACCTACCCGACAGTATATGGACCCCTCGCTACGCCCGGGGCACATGGGCCGCTCGGAACATTTGGCCGCTCGGAGTTTTACTGCTGGGATCCCGCCGCACAACTCTGTCTCAGAATCTTCAGTGGACCGTTTCAGGCCCTGTCAGCCTGTCCACTCACTCGACAGAAAGACTGGACTCAACGTCCATCCACGAGGACCCCCAGGAGAATGAGGGAGCCTTCACGAGAAGTTGAGACTCGAGAGAGGGGAGGGGGTTGGGGGGCACTGGGGCTTCTCCGAGTCCACCCATCATCATTCGCTGACTTCTCTCGAGAGTCTCTTGCAGCCTCCTTGCCTGGCTGGCAACATGGCTACAGTTTGCTAGCCAGCATCAACAGCCGCCGAGAGAAACTTGGTCTGGCCTGGACAACTCTGGCCACCATCGACCGATTGGGCCTCGTTGTCTCCGTTGTCTCTCTGCGCTGACCCCAACCCGGACTACGCGTTGGTCAGAAACGATGTTGACCGCGCCGTTTACCCGTGGATACGTCAGCGACCTTGCCGATATTGCCCTGTCTTTTCGCCGGCGTTTTCAAAGATCCCAAACCCCAAACCGCCTTCTCCTGAGCTAAGTCATCGCAAGGCCAAGGGGTTGTTTCTTCGCAGAGACCATGGTCAGAAAGAAACTAGAATCCAATCAAGGGAGATGAGGCCTAGTCGAACAGGAGCTCGTTCCAAGCTATGCGGCGGGAGGCGGCTCCGTCAGTCAGCTGTCTGTCTAGGTACCACACTCACACGCGAGAACGATAGACTAAGAAATGCGGACTATCGTCTACCTGACGGTCTGACAGCGACTGTGCCTGTGCCTGTGCCTGTGCCTGCCTATCCCCGGGGCGTGTCCGAGGTCCGCAAACAATGACAGTTTTGGCTTCAGCAATGGCACTTGTTTCTCCTTCATCCGATAGGGAAGAGGCCCTCGACCTAATTATGTTCGGTATCCCTCTTCCGCAACATCCCAAAGCTTAGCTCGCTAAGCAGGCCGCAACATGGAGGCCATGGAGGCCGTGGACCAGATCGCCCTTGGCAAAAAGTCTTGCTTTGCCCAGCAGTCACATTGCAGACACATCGCTACTGCGCCAAGCGCCGCGAGGCTTAGCTAGCGACGGGAGAGCAACCATGGGGATCGCTGAAACGCCAAGCGGAAACAACTGCGAACGCTGACTTACCAGAGGGGTCCAATGACGAGATTCACCCGGGATACTGTCCTCCTCCTTTCTCTTTCGAATGCACCGTCGAATGCTCGCTCGCCCATCCTTCGCCGCTCTCCCGCGCTCGATCCCCCCTCCCCTGCGAGAGAGACCCCTCCCCCCTTGATGTTGAATTACCAAGAGGGGATGATGCTGTTTTCTTCCTGTCGGTCAAAGAAAACTCCCTCTCTGGTTTTTTGCCTTTCGTTTCCAACCGACTAGGTAGGGCTAGACACCCGGTTCGTTCTCGAGGGCGTGGAAGGGTTACCCGTTTGACGCTTGAGGCCAAGAATAGCAGCAGCAGCAGCAGCATCCAGTCCATACCCTACTCAGTCCTCGCCTGAGGCTGGCTGCTTGACTTTACTGCTCTTTCTCTGACCCATCGTCGGATATCCGCCATCCTCTTTGTCAGTGTTTTGTCTGATGAGAAGCCGCCCCAACTCGACAGCTTGCCGGCATCCAGCATCCAGCATCCAACTTGATAATTGGAATAAGGCCTGTGGGGAACATGCGTGGGCCACCACATCTACCTGCTACGTCGCCTAAATGCTTAGCCACGCTTACTTGACCTAGACTTTTGGACCAACGGAATCAAGTTCGGCTCACCATCGCCGTCCAGTGGAGAAGGAGGTGACGAACAACTTGTCTGGCCATCTGCACCAGGACTGGTCTAAATGCAACGGCCCGGCTAGCTGGTCCCGAGAACATCGCCCGAGGACTAGCATACGCTTGGCTGCGGCGAGCTTGTGTCTTTCTTGCAGTAGCCTACGGCACTTAAGCCTTGTAAGTTGTGGCAGAGAAAGAGTGTCGGCGCTAGGGGAGATCTGACAGCACCCTCCGTCTTACCGTTTCTGCTTTTCTCTTCGCTGCCGGGCGCCAAACGTACATGTGCTATAGCAGACTGAGATGGTGGTGGTGGTGTTGCTACTGCTTGTCTATTGTGATTAGAGAGAGGGACCGGGATCACATCGCATTGTCAATCTGCCAGATCAACCACGCTTAAATGGGTCGAAATAAGCTAATTGAGACCTCAGATCAACGGCTCGCCAGTTTCCATGGCTCATGAGACTTTACATCCGAAGCACGATATTTCTTGGCTCTCACTCAGACCTACCTCAACGGGCTTCTGCATAGTTGCGAACAGAAAGCGAGCATGGGAAAGGTCAGAGCCGCCACGCAGAGACAGATGCACACCATCCACGTCCACACCCACCCACAGCTCGACATTCCCCCTTCCCCTTGCCCCCCCTCCCCCCTCCCCTGCGCTAGCCTCCCGGCACCGATCGACCGATATCCCTGCTCTGGATCACGGCCTTGTCGACTGTGGGGTAAGGGGACTCCCCTGCTTGTGACCGATCTTCTCCTCGACGTATTCGCAGAATTCCAAACATGCTACCAGATCCACCTCGTTGCCGCAACTCATGTCTTGGGTCCTGACTGACGGGAGGGAACCCCGATCCCAGGCGGAAGCGCACACACCCTCCCCTGGTCCTCCTCCTTCAGGCTTCGCCCTCCTTCTCCTCCTCGCCTTCGCTCTCAGTCAGAACCTCTGCAGTGGTTCGACCGGTTCGACGCCAGATCCGTCCATCACAGGGTTGGCCCGGCTTGACATGGACGCGCACGCCCCCTTGCTGAGCGGGACAATCTGTGACCAGGGCATCACAACTTGAGACTTGGCTCGCCTGGAGCCTCCAAGCAACAAGCGCACGACGTCGTCGTCCCATTTTTGCAACATGTATAATCCTCGCTCTCTGAGCCGGGCCAGTCGCCATCTCTTGACTTTCCTACTTTGAACATTAACTCGGCCTTGTCCACCACCTTCTTCTTCTTCTTTTCCGACCTGGGTTACTCTTCTCTTCTCGGTCATCCTCTATTCCTTTCTTCCGCCCCCGTCACCAGTTCCGTTCATTCACGACGACTCTTGTTTAATTCTCCATTTTACACTTTTGAGGGCTCCCTGGTGACAGCTCCTCGTCCTTTTCATTAACAAGCAAAAGAGCCGCCTGGTGTGGCCTGTTTTTATATCCTCTCTGTTCATAGAGTTGTCTACCTGGTGACGGACGTCCTTTTTACATCACAATCAACATGGAGTCAACTTCATTGCGGTCGCTGGTTCTTTACGGCCTCCTGTCGACCTTTGCCGATGCCTCCCCGGTCGAGAAGCGCGCTAATATCCAAAAGCGAGGACACTTCCTCGTCCCCAGAGTGCCCAACGACAACTTCGCCGGTCACAATGGTCCGAGACAGCTGATCAAGGCGTACCGCAAGTACAGCATGCCCATCCCGCAGGGCCTGCAGGATGCCATGGACGCCATGGCGGCCCAGAACCCCAGTCCCGAGCCCGTCAAGGCCGAGGGCTTCAAGTCTCTCGCCGCTGGCGCCACGAACCAGACCGCCGCCGCTGGACAACCCGGAACCGGTCTCGTCACCGCCACCCCGATCCGCAACGACGTCGAGTACGTTTCGCCCATCAAGATTGGTGGCCAGGAGGTCAACGTCGACTTTGACAGTGGTTCTTCCGATCTGTGGGTCTTCACCTCCATGCTCGACGCCACGTCCCAGACCGGTCACCAGCTGTACGACCCTACCAAGAGCACGAACGCCAAGATGCTCTCCGGACAGCAGTTCTCCATCCGCTACGGTGATGGCTCCGGAGCTCAGGGTGTCGTCGGAACCGACGTCGTCGACATTGGTGGCGCCGTCGTTCAGGAGCAGGCAGTCGAGATGGCCACCGCCGTCTCCCAGCAGTTCGTCCAGGACACCGCCAACAACGGTCTTCTCGGTCTTGCTTTCTCCAAGCTGAACACCGTCAAGCCCACGGCCCAGAAGACCTTCTTCGACAACGTCATGCCCAGCCTTGCCGAGCCCGTCTTCACTGCCGATCTCCGCAAGAAGACCGTCGGCGCCTACGAGTTTGGCCGCATCGACAGCTCCAAGTTCACCGGCCAGATGGCCTGGATCCCCGTCAACACCACCAGCGGTTTCTGGCAGTTCAGCAGCGAAAAGTTCCAGGTTGCCGGCGGTCAGGTCCAGCAGGGCACCGCCGGTGCTCAGGCCATTGCCGACACCGGTACCACCCTCATCCTCGCCAACCCTCCCATGGTCCAGGCCTACTACCAGCAGGTCCAGGGTGCCAAGCAGGACCAGCAGGTCGGCGGTATCACCTTCCCCTGCAACGCCCAGCTTCCCGATCTCATGATGGATATCGGCGGTGTCTACATGGCCCGTGTCAAGGGTGCCGACATCAACTTTGCCCAGGTTGACGCTCAGAGTAAGTTACACATTGCACCATTGCCCTTTCCAAACATCAACTAACACCATCTAGCCTGCTTCGGTGGCCTCCAGGCAACCACCTCCAAGCTTCAGATCTACGGAGACATCATGTTCAAGTCGCAATTCGTTGCCTTCAACGGTGGAAACATGTCCCTCGGCATGGCCGAGCACGTCGTCAACAGCCAACAGGCGGCAGCACCCGCGACTGGCGCTGGCGCAGCGGCGTAAGCATTGACACACGTGTGAATACACTTTACTTCTTTTGGCATTAGGATTCACTTTTTTTGATGTCCAGGGAGAACAACATGAACAACAACGCCGGCTCGACGTCCGGTAGTGAGAGGTTGACGGCTGCCAAGGGAGGGTTAATGGTCGTCCTCCAAGCCGTGTTAATCGCCATGGTCATGGGCGTCTTCTGAGACGATCGACTACAGAGAGATCTTTTTTTTGTCTTATATTCCCCTGAGGGATGTTTTGCAGGATTACATGGTGAACCTCATTCTAGCTTAGATATCCTCTGAGCTCTCTAGCCGGCATAGTAAATGAATGGCATTGTGATATAAAAGCAAGAACCCTTCCCCGCGTCTCTTCACTCTACTTGCTTTCCTCCGTCTTGTACTCTTGTTTGCCCACGCGCTCACACAGACTCTTCAACATGTTGCCGGTCCACTCAAAGTCGGACTCGTCGAGGAAAATCTGCGCACTCACCCTGACCCACCAACGACCATCGTGCCTGTAAATAGGCAGGAAGGTCTGGTATTCACCCATCAACTTGGATACAAGCCAGGCGCCCACAGCTGCAGATTCCGTCTCGGGAACGGTGACCGTGCCATCAGAACCCACCGAGACAGACTCCGCATCAGGACCGCTCACCATCGGCAACGCAACGTTGACCATGGCGCACTTTGTCAACGTCTCCGTCTTGTTGTCCAGGATAAACGTCCCGAGGATCGCAGCAATCTTCTTGCCGCCGTTCTTGGCCAGTGTCTGGAGGTAATCGAGAATCTTGTCCTCTCCACCAAGGCTCTTACGCCACTCAATCGAGTGTTTGACACACATGTTCGGGCTGTTATCAAACGTCCCGTTGAACCCGAAATTCGTCACAAACTGCGAGTCCTTGCTCTTCGGCAGCGGGTTGTACCGAACCTGCCCGGACCGCGGCACATACCCGTGCGACGTCGGCACCGTCGACGCCACGAGGTGCTGGTTCCGCTCCGGCACGTAGAAGACGGCGCACCCGCGCGGGACGTGCAGCCACTTGTGGCAGTTGGACACGAAGAAGTCCGGGTCGGCGGCCGCGACGTCGAGGTGCACCATCCCGATCCCCTGCGCGCCGTCGACGAGGCTCATCACCCCCAACTCGCGGCAGGCGGCCGTCATGGCGACCCAGGGAAAGCAGATTCCCGGCAAGCTGGTGACGACGTCGAAGAGGCAGATCTTGGGGCGTTTGCCCTCGGCGCGGGATTGTGCGACGACGGAGCGGAAGAGGGCTACGACGTCGGCATCTTCCATCGGGTACGTCAACGGGATGCCGCGCTCCGAGACGCGGCCGTAGCGGGTGTCGACGATGTAGTCGATCGTCTTTGCACACCCGCCGTAGATTGTGGAGAAGTAGAGGATCTCGTCGAGGCCGTCGGCCTCCCAGGACAGGTTGCGGAGGACCGTGTTGACGCCCGTCGTGGCGTTGGGGACGAAGACTGTGCTGTCGAGCGGGGTCTTTATGATTTCTGCTACGGCTTTGCGGGATTCGCGGAGGTGGTCGTGGTAGGTCCAGCGGATGAAGGGGTCTGGGCGGGCCTCGGTTTCGTCTTGGTAGGAACGGAGGACTTTTTGGATGTGGCGTGGGATAGTACCGAATGAGCCTGTTTATTATGTTAGTGAACGGGGAATGAGATGTGGTTGAGTTGGGGATGCCGTGCCATTGTTCATGTTGTGATAAGCTGGGTCATGGAGAAATTCTTTCAACATCTGCTTGCCAAACGGTACGGAGCCGAGTTGGAGCTTGCTTGTTTCTTCGGCGAGCTCACCCATGATGAATGAGGTTCTGGATGGTGAGAGGAGATGGTATTGTCGGTGATGATGTATCGGTAATGCGATGCCGAAAGTTTTCCAATGATAAGCCTCTCAATGAATGAGAAAGAATTGAACAAAGATGAAGATGTTCTGAATCAATTGACTTTTTAACAGTGTCCTATTCAATGTGATTTATACCAATATTGCTCTCGAATGTGAGTCGTACCTCAAGATGCCATTGACTCATAAATCGTTGATGGTTTATCTATCAACCCCATGCAAGACAAAAGATTAAGTCCAAACAAGAGCGGGAGCCGAGCCGCGTCCACCTCCGCATCCCGGAGCATGGGCCCATCGGAGTGTTAGCCCACAGGTGACCCGCTGAAGCACCCGCTTGATACTCCTGCATGTTGTCCGCAGGGCGCGGACTATGTACAGAGGACGGGTCTAGCGGAATTTAAAGCGTAGTGAAGGGCGGAACGACTGCGAGCTATCATGCGCCGACCGAGTCTAACCGAAGATTGTTTGGCTGAGTCACCTTTATTTCTCGAGGCTTGGGATCAGCGGATGGCAGGTTTGCCGTTCCCAGTGATGAGTTGATTTGTAACATGTGCAGGATCACGATCCTCTCGTGCATCTTGAAACTACATGTTGACAAGCATGTCAGATTCCGGCGGTCTCAATTGTCCTACGAACACGGAGGCATGGCGGTTGATGTACGAAACCACCCGATAGTCGGCGGATCAGATGCTCTTTGGGTCGAGCACTTTTAGATTATCGGGAACTCGTAAAGAATCCGGATCTGTTGAGACTATCCGTGCAACCTACTTCTATCTTTACCGCAGAAAATTCTAATAAAGTTATGACTCTCAACAACATTATCCTAGTGATCGTTTCCGCGAGCGTGTCACTAAGCGGTGGGGCGCCTATATGACTCGAATTGACTACAGAGGTGACAGGGCAACTTGCAACTCTTTGGTTGTTTGTGTTGGTCATCTTGCTGAATTCAATGGCGATTGAGACCTCTTATTGCAAGAATCTTCCGCGATTTCTTCAACATCGGCGAAACGGGAGATTCAACTTTGTCGCCCGGGGGCTGGCGCGCTACATACTTAGCACGATAAACAAATGGAAGCGTCAACGAAGATCGTGGCGGACATAGCTCAGTTGGGAGAGCGTCAGACTGAAGTTAACTTCATTCACTTAATCTGAAGGTCGTGTGTTCAATCCACACTGGCCGCATCTTCATATATTTTTTGCCATTTTTTTTGCATTCTCCACCCAGTCTTCACTCTTTGGGGACAATTTCTGCGCATTTGGTCGGGATTGAGTGTCACTGTTTGCTCAATTTGGTCCTTGAGCACCGTTTGGCTCATTGCTTTTG